TCCAGTTTATATTTGAATTTGTTTTGGATTTTTCTGACATCATGATTTCACATCAATTTTTTAGATTCAGTCGATGCATAGTATTTTCCCCTTACAATCCCATTTTGGGTCTATATACATCTTTTTCATTTTAGATATGTTTCTTATAAGTTGCAGGCTTTGGACTTTGTTTTCCAAGCTGATTATCAATCTTTTATTTGATTTGATTTTAAAAAGTGATTTATATTTAGAGTTAAGAGAGTTTGGTTTTATATTTTTCTTCATCTTTTTCTCTAGTTTTTTTTTTATTTGTTCATTTCCACTTCCTCTTCTCAATGTGTAACTAGGTTTTTCAAAGAGTTTTACTTAATCTACTATAAATTCAACTCTAATAGTCTCTTCCCCTCACTCTCAATTTCCCACTCCCAATTTGTCAACTCTTTCCCTAGGCTGGAATTTTACTTTAACTTTTCTTTCTTCTCTTTAGTTTTCAAATTCTTCCCCTTTTTTCTCCCTCAATAGTTAATTCAAAATCTCCACTCCTTTCCTCTTTGTTAGCATTTTTTTTGTCTCCCAGAACTCTTTTTTGCTTGTCTCCTAGACTTTGTTGTTATCATTGTCTTCCATGTGTCTATTAAAATTGTATTCTTGATTCATGTTTTTATACTTATAATAGTCTTTGTATTTTTATGGCTTTAAAGTTCTTAAAATACTTTGCATTCCTTCTTCTAACAAATTTCTATGTAATTGACTTGTCCTTCTTGCCTCTTCACCTCCTCTTTCCTGTCTCTGTATGTTTGTATCTCTGTGTCTCACTTTCTCAGAAGCAACATTTCCTCAGGGAAATAATAATGATTTATAGGGGAAAAAAAAAAGCTTTCTTCCATGGTTGAAATTATTCTTTACTCCAGATCATTCAGTCCATTTTTCCCCATGACTTTTCCAGGATTTATTATCATTTCCATTTATCCTGTTTTCTCCTTTCTAGTCCAAGTCTTCCCACCTTTCCAGACACCATTTTTCTCTAAGAGATCTGTTTCCATTCTCCTAAAGCAGATACCCATAGAGACATGACATGTCTGGAGACAGGGGTCTTTAAGTATATGAACTCTTACAAATTTGACCCACTATAATATGCTCATTTTTTCTTTTAGGTTAAAATCACCAACTTTATTTCTTCCTATTTCAATACCTTTGATTTCTACCTCAACCATTCTTCTGTATCCCCTTTTCTTAGTGAAAGACAAAAGGGGTTTTTTCTTCACTGTTTATCCAGGGGTTTAATGAATATAAATCACATTTCTTATCTTTCCATTCTCCTTTTATAAACCCTCTTTTTCCATTTTTATTCTGAAAATCTACATCATTTAATTTTTTTGTAAATAGTATTATGTTTTTTCTAATTACATGTAAAGATAGTTTGCAACATTCGTTTGTATAAGATTTTGAGTTCCAAATTTTTCTTCCTCCTTCCCTTCCCTCCCCAAGATGGCAAGCAATCTAATATAGGTCATACATGTGCAATTATGGAAACATATTTCCACATTAGTCATGTTGTGAAAGAAGAAACAGAACAAAAGAGAAAAGCTACCAAAAAAAATGTGAAACTAATACGGTCGATAGACATTCAGAATCCCGTTCTTTATCTGGATGTGAATAGCTTTTTCCATCACGTCATTTAACTTTCAAGTGATGATTCAGAGTATAGTGCATGGTTCTTCAGTCTTATTATTCTAATGTCATGCCTTCATCTTTACAAAAGTTTTGTTTTCCTCTCCCACCCCTAATCTACAACCCACCCCTATAATCTTAAGAAATGACTCAATGTTCTATTTTAACCTTAAAATTAAAATGTGTGAGTGTGTGTTTAAAGATTTTTTGGTGGTTATATGTAATTTTATATATGACCTACCTGGTCATAATATGTGATCTTTCTGATATATTGGTGTATTCTCCTTGCTAGTATTTTATATTTCTTTTAAAATGTACAAATCAATCTTCTTTAAGGAAAAAAAGAAAGAAAGAAAAGGAATGCTACCCACTTGGCTATTCTCGAGTCTGGCTAAGAGGTGGATTTGATACTGCTTAGTTGGAAAATTGAATTATCTGAATCCAAACAGAACTAAGGATATTTTATCCTGTCATACTTGGGCCTTAAATCTTGTCCCTGCTTTATCCTTTTATAGCAAATTTCTATAATCAGAACAAGTGGTCAGTAAAAGAATAATGCCAGTGTGAGAGATCTAGCTGTTTTGACCTGAATTTCAGTGATAATTGAAGTGAAAATCAGCCTCTGGCAAAATCAAATTCATTTGTATAACTCTTGAACCCTGGGGTAGAAAACTTCTACCTGCAAAAGTGTCACTTAAACTTTAGAAAAAGTAACAAGATTAGATAATCCTGCAGGTCAAGTGTAAATGATTTTAATGGGCTCTTCACTTTTATGTCTCCCTATAGCTGGGCCCTGCAGTCTTTTCTGTCAAATTTGTGTCTTCCAGACTACAGGCCATTCACCTACAATTGGTAGCAAACAGCTGGTACCAGCCAATGTCCACCCATTGTCCCCTGGATGCAGCCTGGGCTCTGGGCTTGGTTCCAGTCAACCGCCTCTTTGGGACCCCCTCGAGGCAGGGACAGCTCTATGCCCCTTGCCAGCAGGAAGCAGTTTCAGAAGACAAGACCTTCATCCCTTATCCCAAAAGAATTTGGGTCCCATTTGTTTGAGGGGAGAATGATGGGATCTGAACCCTTAAAAAGAAAAGACCATGTCATTGGGATCTGGACCCCAAAAAGGAAAAACCCTGGACTTTCCCACCTTGCCAAATCTCTGGCATTCACCTGAGGCTATAATCCTATTAACTGGCCTTTCACTGTGGCTACACCCCATCTCCCAATTCTGTTCTCTTACCTCCCAATTGCCCCTGGCCACCTTTAATCCTACCCAGACTCCATTCTCCCTTGGCCACGTGGTCCAGGTCCCTGGCATTCTGTTCATCCCAGTTTACTGGCCACTCCTATCCAGATCCTCCTTAGACCCCCTCCTCCAGTAATCCCCAACTACTTGGCTACTCCCAGATCCCTCCTACAATCTTTCTGTATATAAGGTCCATCGTGTCTCCATTAAGGTGCTCAGATTCTTAAGATCTGGCCTGCTTGCATTAGCAATACAAATACTTAGATTCCTTAAGAGTCTGGCCCATATAGCAGATGTTCTAATAAACCTTGTGTTTGGCTGAAAAAAAAAAGATGAAACCCTATTAAAATTATTGCTTATCCCAAGTAATTAACACACAACCCTGTTCTCAGGCCTCCAAAGCTCAGGTTAAAGAGAGAGGTGAGGCAAAATGACCAGGCCAAAGATGCCTCTGATTTCTGGAACACTCTCTCCTGGAATTTCAGTTAACTTAATGCATTTCTGCAGGAACCAGAGGGCAGGCTGGAAAATCACTCAGTCAACCTGAACAGATCTCTTTTCTGGTTTCCTTTCACTTCATCCAATGGCTTTTAAAGACCTTTCACATTTCCTCTAAGGTTTGTTTATTTTGTTGTTGTTTAGTCATTTTTGACTCTTCATGACCCCATTTGGGGTTTTCTTGACAAAGATACTGGAGTGGTTTGCATTTTCTTCTCCAGCTCATTTTACAGATGAGGAAACAAGTAATAAACAGGGTAAAAGACTTACCCAGGGTCACATAGGCAGTAAAGTATCTGATGCCATATTTGAACGAATCTTCCTGACTCAAGGCCATCACTCTATCCCTGGCCACCTAGCTGACCCTATTTATTTTGTATGGATGGATAATTTAAGTCTCTGTTCTGACTTAGTTTTGTTTTGTTTTTTTTTTTCCAGTGAGGCAATTGGGGTTAAGTGACTTGCTCAGAGTCTGAGACTGGATTTGAATTTAGATCCTCCTGAATCCAGGCCTGGTGCTCTATCCACTGCACCACCTAGCTGCCCTCTGTTCTCACTTAGTAAAGGCATCAACTAACATGGGTTAATTTCCCCCCTCCTCTTTATCCCCAACTAAATGGACCTGAACCTTTGGATTAGGAGCTCCTGGAGGGCTAGAACCTTTGCTTTTCTATGCATCCTATGGCCCTCAAGGCCAAATTTAGCACAAAGCAGGTGCTCAATAATTAGTCAATACCACTGACTGACCGAGAGATGTCTTTCTTGCCCTAGGCTTGAGACTGGGCTCGCTTAATTCTTGTTCTTTCCCTCTTTTAATTATTTCCTAACTATCCCATATTACAGCTTATTCCTTATGTATTTGTTTGCATGTGTCTCCCCCATTAGATTGTAAGCTCCTAGAGGGCAGGGGTTGTCATTTGCCTTTCTTTGTATCCCCAGTGTTCAGCACAGTGCCAAGCACATAGTACAAGGTTCATGAATGCTTGGAGAGTTAGGTGGCTCACTGCGCTTAAAATCAGGAAGTCTCATCTTCCTGGGTTCAAACCCAGCCTCAGACACTTCCTAGCTGTGGGACCCTGGGCGAGTCACTTAACCCTGTTTGCTTCAGTTCCTCATCGATAAAATGCGCTGGAGAAGGAAATGGCAAACAGCTCCAGTACCTTTGTCAAGAAAACCCCCAAATGGGGTCTCGAAGAATCGGACCGCACAAGAAGGAATGCTTAATGACTGTCGGCTCGGCCAGAGACACCTTAGGCCAGGTGGGGACTGGGCCTGCACAGGACCAAGAACAGGCATTGATATGGCCACGGCACTTTCCAGTCTACCACAATCACTGAAAACAACGCAGGCTCCAGAGAGGGGTAAGGCTAGCGCCTAGCTCCTAATATCCTCAGAATAATTTCCTGGCTCGAGATCTTTTGCCCCCGGGCTTACATAAAAAAAAGTGGGGGTCAGTCTGCGCGTGCGTCTGTGTAGCCTCGAGCGCCAGCCAATCAAGCCAATCAACACAACAATCCCGGCGGCAAAGCCCGCCCCCTTCTCGGTTCATTCCCGCCAGGCTGCGCGCCACTCCCATAGAAGTAACTGTTGTGAAGAGGGAACGGGGGTGGAGCTCCCCAGCAACCGGCCCAAGCTGCCTGGCGTCCCCACGATGCGACTGCGCCCCCAGAACGGGGCTCCCAGCGCAGCGACAGGGACATGCAGCCGGGCGGCGTGCCGGCTTGACTCTCCCCCGACTCTTCCGGCTGCCCCTTGAGGCCTGGTGCGGCCCAGCCTGGTTCGAGGAGGAGTATGGAGAGCCTCGGTGTCAGGTAGGCTGGCGGGGCCGTGGGCCACGGGGCTGACTAGGGTCGAGAAGGGTTTCCCCATCTTGCTGCCGGCCCCCTGGGCCAGGACAGCCTCCCCAGCGCCCGAGCATCCTAGTTAGAGGTGGCAGGTTGTGTGTGTGTGTGTTTGTGTTTGTGTTTGTGTGCGCGCACACTAGAAACGACTTCTGAGGAAACGACGTTTCATGTTGGTGCTTTTATGTGTTGCATCAATAAGAAAGAGGACCCTGACTGCTGCATCAGGTGGTTATCTCCACTTCCTGCTCTGTAGATTTAATGGTTAACACTTTTTCCTCGTGTGTGTGTGTGTAAAATCAGAAGGTTGATTTGCCTTCTACACACACTTGTTACTTGTTTTGTTAGTCATTTGCATTTTTAAAAGTGTCTAAGGGTAGAATGGTGTATTTTCCTTCTGATAACTTCGAGCATTTCCTCCACGCCTGCCCTCCACCAGTTTACCCCCAGGGCATCTTTGTACAGTTTTTTGTTTTTCTTCATAATTATTTGTGCTGTTTTCTGAATTGAGGAATGAATTTATTTTCCCTAAATTTCTACCCTATCAGTGTTTTGTGTCCCCTAGACACTTTGCACTGTTTCGCTTTCGATTCTTTTTGCTTACTAGCTGCTTTGTTTTCATTTCTTTTTGTGTGTGCTTATTACATTATATTAAAATTTAAAAAAGAGACTTGTTCCATATATCGTCATTACAAACCCACCAGTCTTCTTATATTAGTGTTTTTAATTTAGCTTTCAGCTAATCTACTACTCTAGGGCTCTAATATTTTTTAAAATATAAAAGTGTTGAGGCTTTCTTTCAAATGTTAAATATGTAGAGCTAATTAGAAATGCAAATTAAAACAACTCTAAAATCCCTCCCCTCCCCCGAGACTCGACTACCACAACAAAAGTCGGTGTTAGGAGCTGTGGGGAAATATTGGTGCTGCTGTTGTGAATTAGACTGACTAATCATTGTTGAATATTATGTGAAATTTTGAGTGAAAAATCTCTGTAAACCATTCATACCCCTTGACTTACCGATATGTCTATTGAGCATATATCCCAAAGAGGTTAGACAGGAAGGTACTATATATATCAAATTATTTGTAGCAGTCATTTTTATAGTAGCATAAAAACAGTTAACAAAGTGGGGAATGCCAAACTAATCAAGGTATATGAACCTTGAGAAAGAATAAATAGCAGGAATCCAGAGAAACATGGTAAAACTTGTATGAATTGATGCAGAGCAAAGTTAAGTTGTACTGGGAGAGTAGTCAACTCAGTATAAAGTAAAGGAAAATAATATTTGCAGTAACCAGTATTGGTCTCAACTAACTTTCTGCCTCAGAGAGTTGAGTGTGCATAGAATGCATAGGCTACTTTTGTAGTAGTTTGGTCATTTTTGCTTATTTTTTACAAGGGAAAATTGAGTTGATACATTTAGAAATGACTGGTGTAAAAAATAAGGCTTCCAATAAAACTTTTTAAAAAGACAAAAGTAGAATGAGTAATTCAAATTTAAGATGAAATTCCTTCCTATTTATGGCATAATATATTTAAATGGTTTCCTGGAAATTTTTGTGTATAATGACTTTAAGGCAGATTGCTTGCTACTTTAGTAGTACTTCCTTAATTATTGTCTCTTGACTTAGTTAGTTACTGGGATAGTGTATATTGGTATGACTATTAAAGCTTAAAACTGCATTAAGACTTTTGGGACACCCTGCATTTTCCAAAATACCTTTAATAATAAGGCATTTTGTCTTCTTTTTTTCTTAAGTTGCAATTGAAAAACTAATTATTTTGTGTGCTTTGGGTGGTTGATCCCCAGGTATTTTATGCATTTTGTAGTTATTTGAAATGGATTTTAGTTTTTATTATTGCTTCTTATCATTCATTGTTATTTTATAGAAATGCTATTGATTTTTGATGATTTATTTTGTAGCCTGAAACTTTGCTGAAGCTGTTAATTGTCTCAATGAGTATCTTTGATAATTCTCTGGAGTTATCCTAGTAAACCATCGTATCTTTAGCAAAGAGAGATAGTTTTGTCTCCTCTTTACCTCTCTTTATTCCTTTTATGTGGCAGCTAGGTGGTGAAGTGGATAGAGCACTGGGCCTGGAGTAGCTGAGGTGAAATCCAGCTTTAGACACTTACTAGCTGTGTGACCCTGAGCAAGTCACCTAACCCTGTTTGCCTTAGTTCCTCATCTGTTAAATGAGCTGGAGAAGGAAATGGCAAACCATTCCAGTATCTTTGCCAAGAAAACCCCAAATGGGGTCATGAAGAGTCAGATACATCTGAAAATTCTTTTAATTCCTTTCTCTTGTCTTATTGCTATTGCTACCATTTCCAAAACTATATCAAATAATAGTAGGGAGAGTAGGCATCTCTGCTTCACTCCTAAATTTATTGGAAAAGATTCTAATGTATTCCCCTTGCATACGTGCTTGCTTTTGGTTTTAGATAGATACTTTTTATGATATTAAAAAAAGGTCCCTCTATGCTATACTTTGTAGAGTTTTTAGCATGAAACAGTATTATGCTTTGTCAAAGGCTTTTCCTGCAGTATTGATGATCGTGTGGTTTTGGATGTTTTGTTTTTTAATGTGATTAATTATGTTGATTTTTTCCTAATGTTGAACCCTCCTTGTGTCCCTGATACAAATCCTACTTGATCAAAAAAAATAATTTCTTGGATAGATTGTTATAGTATGTTTAATAGGATTGTATTTAAATTTTTTGTCAAAGTTCATTAATGATTTATTGATCTGTGGTTTTCTTTCAATGTTTTATCTTTCCCTGGTTTGGGTATTAGGACTATATTTGTTTCATAGAGGATTCTTATAGGGTTCTTTCTCAATTTTTGAGAGTAATTTGTGGAGTACGTTTGCTAATTGTTCTTTAAAAGTTTGATAGAATTCTCTGGTGAATATGATAGAACTAGGAGTTGTTATTTTTTTTCTCTTTGGTAATTCCTTTATATCTAGATCTCTTTTCTGAGATTAGGTTATTTAAGATCTTGATATAGCCTTCTGATAGTTTAGGCATTTTATATTTTTGAAGGCATCCCTCTATTTCTTTTGTGTTCTCAGTTTTATTAGCATATAACTGTATATAATATGTTTTAATTATTTTTTCTTATAGTTTTGTCATTTCACCTTGCTTATTTGCTATTTTATTGATTTGATTCTTTGTTCTCTTTAATCAGATTAGTTACAGGTTTGTCAATTTTATTAGTTTTTACAAAACCAGCTTTTAGTTTTATTTATCCTTTTTGTGCGTTTTTTTGTTTCCAATTTATATCCCATCTAATTTTTAATATCTGCTGTGCTTATTTTAGGTTTGTTTATTTAAAAAAATTTTTGAATAGATATTCAGTTACTTAATCTTCTCTTCTATTTTGTTAACGTATGGTTGTAAGGTGTTAATCTCAGAGTTTGGTCTAAGAAAGACAAACAGTAATAGGTTGTTGCTTGTGTTCATTTATTTCTCTCAAGTGGGCAGAGCATGCCTGCAGAGCCCAGTTCCAGATTGACTTATTTGTCTTTCTTAGACCAAACTCAGGTTTACATTGGGTGTGATTTCCTCCCTGAGGACAACTTTAGCTGTATCTCAGAAATTTTGGTATGTTGTTTCATTGTTATCATTTTCTTTTACATAATTATTGTTTCTGTGGTTTGTTCTTTGACCTACTCGTTATTTAAGATTTCAGTGTTAAGTCTTCATTTGGATCTGCGTCTTTTGTTTGTGGTCCCTGACCCAGTTGCTGTTCCTGTTATATTATGGTTTGTAAAGGATACATTAATTATTTCTGCCTTTTTAATGTTTGCTTGCAATTTTTGTAAAAGTAGTGCAGGAAAATATGTACATTCTTTTGCTGTCCCCTTTAGAAGCTACCATAAGTCTTTTTTTAAACTCTGGTTTCTCCAGAAATTTGTTCAGTTTCATATTTTCTCTTTTGTTTATCTTTCTGTTAGACTTATCTAAAACTGATGGAGGGATATTGAAATCTCTTGTTGCTATTGTGTTACTGTCTGTCTTCCTGAAGCTCAGATAATGTTTCCTTTATCAATTTGGGCGCTAAGGTGTTTGGTACATATAAGTTTATTACTGATATCGGTTTGTACCTGTGGCCCTTTTCAGCATAATATAGTTTCCTTGTTTATCCTTTCATATTTTTTGAATTTTTTTTTTTGTCTAATAGCATGATATCGACTCCTTTTTTTAAGATTCACTGGAAGCATAGTAAAAAAATTTTCTATCCCCATAGTTTTATTTTGTGTATGTTTTTGTTTTTAAGTGTTTTCTTGTAAGCAACAAATTATAGGGTTTTGTTTTCTTATCCAATCTGTCACTCTTTTTTTATTTTATTGGACTGTTTTATCCAGTCACATTTAAAGTTATAAGATTTAGGTTTATATTTTCCTCCATCTGTCTCTTAAATTTTTTTTTTTTAAGTTATGACTTTTCCGTCTAGTTAAGGTGGCCCTATTCCCACTGGCTGTTTTCTTCTCACCCCATGCTCTCTTCTTGCTTGTTAGCCCTTTTCCTTTTGGGGGTTTGTTAATTAGTTCTTCTCTCCTGCTTTTATCTGGTTATATATTTCTTCCTCTTTTTTCTTCTCAGTTAAATGGATTTTCCCTTTCTCTCCTCACCTTCAGGCAGTCCTGTTTATTAATTTTTAAAATTTCTAATTTTTGGTACTTCTTTCCAAAAAAGGATTTCTCTCTCTTCATTATCCATCTTCTCTTTACTCTAGACCCTCATTCTTTTGACTCACAGCCCCTGTAATCATCGAGTCTCTTTTTCTCTGTGGTCTTCATAGAATTAAAGCTTTCTCGATACCCATTCTAGGCTTTCTCTTCTAAGTGCTTTCTGCCACTGCCTTGGAGGGCCTACCCATGTGGATTCCTTTTTTTCTATTGTACCTCACTCTCAGAACAATGCCTGTTATTGCAGGTGTCAGATAGGACATTTCCCTCATGGTAAGACCACTCCCCCACCATTGCTATACCTTCTCTTGTTGACTTTTTTTTTTCCCTGTATTTGCCAGGTACTCTCCCTGTGTCCATATTCTTACTCCTCTGGGTACCAGTTGCCCCCAGGAGTTCCATCTTCTCCCCTCCCAGGACAAGTAAACTGTCAGGCCTCATGTAGTGTAAGATCCTCATGTGATGAACTGGTAGAAACATTCTTCAGTGGAACCCTCTGCTACTTTCAAAGTAAGGCCTTCTTCTTTACCTCCTACTTTTCAGTCTTTCCTCACTCCTTCCTCACCCATGCCCCTTAGGTTCATCTCTTTCTGAGACCACAGAGGTCACCTTCCCCTTAATTTGATCCCAGCATATCACATGCTTCTCTGTCCCCCTGCTCCCTTCTCTTCTTTCCATGTTGTAATATCACATAAAAGAGGTATTTACCTGGCAAGGTGTTGCCAGGATCTGTCCATAATGCCCCCTGTCCTCCTCTTCACTGTTACTTCTACAAGATTTCCACTTTTACTCCCTCTACATATGTACATTTAGAAAGAAGTCGCTACTCTCTCTGTTGTCATTCATTCTGTTACTGTTACTGTGCTGGCTTGCTGCTTTATTTCCTCCTACATTTCAGTTGTTTGGGGTATTCCAGTGGCAAATAATCTCTTTGATTCTGATTTTCTTTCTAAAAAATGTTTCAGACTCTTCTTTATTATTGAATATCTTTTGTCCTGTGTGGTTAGGCTCAGATTTTCTGGATAGGTTACTCAGGGCTGCATCCTGAGGCCATTTTTCTTCCAAATTCCATCTCTCTTCCTGGGGGCGGAATAGTCTTGCTTTATTTGAAGGCCTTTTTCTTGATGGCTTGAATAATTTGCTTCTGAATTGAATTGTTAAATTTAACCACTAGTGTCTTTGAGTTTGCATCCATGTTTGTTTGTTTCTGGAGGTAATCTGTGAATTCTTTCCATCAAAATTTCATTTTTCTGTGTTCAAAAGTTCTGAACAGTTCTGAACAGTTGTATTATTTCCTTAATTATAGTGTTAAGGCTTTTTGTTCTGTCTTAATCTTTGGGGAGACCTGTGATCCTTTGGTTGTCTTTATGCAACCTGTTGTTGACATATGTATGATGATCAATTTTAATGTTATTTAATGTTAATTTTTTAATGTTACTGTTCTTTGCTTTTTTTTCCCCATTGTATTTTCTTCACTTTTGTGTATTCACATTCCCAGTCTATTGTTCTCTCTTTCTTTGGTGAGGCTTGCTATTTCAGATTCAAGTTTTTTTAAGATGCTCATTAATTTTTCCATGGAGTTCATAAATTCTGCTCTTACAATTATTATTTCTTTTCTAAACTACCCAAGAACAGTGTGTTGTGGTTCCATGTTCTCCTCAAGTTTCACAGGGTCTATGTCTCATCAAATATTAGATAATTTTCCTTTATTTTGCAGTATTTATTCATAGATGCCTGAACTTTTTTGGTAGAGCTGGAGGCTACATTTCCTTCTGTTGTTACTGTTTTTCCTGTTGACTTATCTGTTTATATTCAAGGTCTTTAAGATTTCTTCCTGAAATCTTTGGTGTTTTCAGTCTTTTTTTCCTTATTACCTACATCTTGACTCCTTCCCCACTAATTGTGGTTTCCTTGGGGGTTGTATCTCAGAGCATCTCAGCCTCCTCCCACGGGGACCCAGCAGGCTAGGTCTCTGTTCAGACTGACTTTTGAGTGGTCAAAACCGGTCCCAGCTGGGTGCTGTACTCTTTTCCTTAGGCTGGATGGGGAGCTACACAACTCACCCACCTCCTTCCCTCCCATACTTGGTGTGCTGTCCTGGTAACCTGCCTCAGTCTCTCTGTTCCTTGACTTTCTGGCCTTGCACTGACAGTTCAGAGCCTGTTTTTCCTGGCACCACTCGTTCAGAGCTTTGCAGCACTAGTGCTTTTGGGTTGCAGACCCCAGAAGACTTGTGTTCCAGAAGGGCTGTGGCCAAGCTGGCTAGCATCCTGGAGCTGAGGTCTCCACGGTGCTGGAAAGACGGATGGAGGACCAAGTTATAGGAGTGGGTTTTGATGTAAGCTTGTGTTGTGTCCTTGGCTTTGCTAGTATAGTCTTGCTGCAGTAGTGTGGGAAGAGGGGTGCTGAGTGAGCTTAGAGTCCATGTCCCCAAAAGTAATCCCCCAACTGCTATTGTTTTTTTTTTTTTAATTTCTTTTGGATTCTGGGTGTCTTGGGTGATGAAAACAGCTGAAGTTGCTTTGTTGTTGGTAGAAAATTTTTATTTTGGAGAGGTTTGAGAGGTCATGGGGATCAGAAATAATATCTAGTCCCCAATCTTGTTGCTCACATGACCCAGAAGGTGACTGTAATATAGTTTTTTATGGTGCGATTCTTTTTCTGTTTGTTCGTTTTTCTATCCTACTTTCTGATTTTTTGTTCGGGCCAGGCTTTGCACACTTCTGGAGGAAAGGTTTGGTTTTGTTTTGTTTTTTGTTTTTGTTTTTGGCTAGGCAATGGGGTTAAGTGACTTGCCCAGGGTCACACAGCTAATTAAGTGTCAAGTGTCTGAGGTCATATTTGAACTCAGGTCTGCCTGACTCCAGGGCTGGTACTCTATCCACTGCGCCACCTAGCTGCCCCTTGGAGGAAAGGTTTGGACTGATTCTGTTGGTGCTTTCCTTGGTATTAAGTGTTGTTATTCCAAGCTCTCAGAGACAGATTAGGCTAGGGACCTGCAAACTTTCAGTCTTCCCAAAGTGTTCTGACCCAGGGCAAAGTCTGATCACTGACTCCCTAGTGAACAATGATCTGGTTCTGCTCGCTTCTCTTTGCATTGGTTCATATAGGTCTTTCCGTGTTTTTCTGAACCCCCTCCTTTGTCATTTCTTATAGCACAATAGCACTTCATCCCACTCATATGCCGCAACTTGTTCAGCCGTTCTTTAATTGGTAAGCATCCCCTCAATTTCCAATTCTTTGTTACCATGGAAAGAGTTGCTAGAAAATATTTATGCACACATAGATATATTTGAGAAAAATAACTCTTATTGACTGGGTAGACAGAAAGACATAATGGATGGAGAACTGTGGGTTCGTGTCTGTTGTTTTTCTCCTCCCCTACTCCCTGCCATACTGGCTATGATTTATGCTGGATGAGACACTTTTAACTCTCCATGTTCTAGACAACTCTAAAACTGTAAATGGCAGAGAATGTGCCAAAATGTATTGGTAGAGTTACCTCATCTGGGAGTCACTACACCAATGAAATCACAGATCCTGTCTCTCTATATAAAAAAAAAATACTAAAAGCAGCAATATATTTTTTGTTTTAGAGGAAGTATGGAATTGTGAAAAGAGCATTATGTTTTAGAGTTAGAGGTTAAGTTCTTACTACTGTGATGTTGGCGTAGTTATTCCTGTAGTTCTCATTTTAAAAAAAAGCATTAAAAGGGGGTGGGGTTGGACTTGATCTGAAGATCACTTCCAGTTCTGATGTACTATGATCTTTGATCCTAATAGCTACGGATTTCTCTGTTTAGCAGTATTATATTCGTTGTTATATTAACAAACCATTGTTGTTATGGACCGTTTCTTAGGGTATTTAAATAGCCACTCAATGTGGGATTCTTTTCCCTTAGTTCTGAATTACTGAGATTTTACATAATTTTAATTTATAATACTATATCATTTGTGTCTTATTTTTCAGAAATCAGTCAATTACAGATTTCTTCAAACCAGTCCCAAAGCAAGGTTTGTGTGCTTTTAAATAATTTCCTGCATTTTTTTTTTTTATTTTGGTGAGGCATTTGGGGTTAAGTGACTTGCCCAGAGTCACACAGTTAGTTAGTGTTATGTATCTGAAGCCGCATTTGAACTCAGGTCCTCCTGACTCCAGAGCTGGTACTCTATCCACTGTGCCACCTAGCAGCTCCTGGAATTCTTTTATGGAGTAAAGATAGACTGTTTTTCATAAACTTACTAAATTCTAAAGATAACAAAAGTCTGATATAGGAGTTTTTCCTACATTTAAAATTATAATAGTGCTCACAGTGCACATCTTTTAGAGTCTTATACACAGGCATTTCTGGTGGAAATAGAAGGCAATGTATTAAAGCTCTTAAAGTTGTAGTTACTGATGCCTGAAGTGTGAGTGCCTCTACTTCCATTGTAAAATTCTCTATCTTTATCCTAATCTAACTAAAATTTTACTTTTTCTATTTCAATTTTAATCTTTTTGACCTTTTCTGTTTTTGTTTTTAATTGAATATACAGATAGACTTGTGTTGAACTCACCACAAAGGACAAATCATAAATATGAAAGAGGTGGGTTATTGGACACCGGTATAGGACAATTTGAAAGAAAAATATCCGCAACAAAAAATATGTGTAAAAAGATGTCAGTTATATCACCAAACAAGAGTCCTATTATAGAGACTTTGATGAGAAGATTTAAAGAGAAAAAAGGTGAAAGAGATGCACCTGAGAGAAACCAGCCTCCTGTGGTGCAAAAAACCCAGTCTTTAGTGGTTGAAAAACCCCGTGTTTCTACTTTACATCGTTGCATGTCAAGGAATGAAATGAAAGACCCAAGGAAGCAAGAAAGATCTCCATTCAAAATGTCATCACATAATCATGGCAATATGAGGGAGAAGGCTGAGTGCATAGATCAAAACCAGACAATTACAGATGCCAAAAACTTGGTTTCATCACCAAAACCTGAGATTTTGAAAAACAATTCCAGCAAAATTGGTGGTAGAAATGACATATCGAGGTGCCAGCAGTTAGAATGTTCTGTGAAAATGCAACAGGAACCAGTTGAGTCTAAGCTTCAGTTGTCTTTAAAATCTAGTTGCAGAGAGGGAGAACTAAAGGAACAGAGTCAGAAACTATTAAAACACAGAGTCATTTCTCCAGAAGAGGCATTCTCAGGAGAAAGCAGCCTTTCCTCAGAACCCTATAACATAGATACAAAATTCACATCAAGACAGGAACGGACCATGCAGAATATCATCCCAGAAAAAAGCAGACTTTCAAATCAGGTATGTGTAGTAAGAACTGAGTAACTGCATTTGTAAAATCCTAGAACTTTTTTAATGCAGAAATTGGTGTCACACAATTGTCCTCAAATATTGAATTTGTATTAGGTGCTGGTTTTCTATCTTTCTTACGTCTATCCTCCGGAAGAATTCTAAAAAGTCATTCTTAAATTGACTCAGAGAAACAGGTTTTTGTTTTGTTTTATTTTGTTTTCCCAATGCTGGACTTAGAAAGTGATCCATTCTTTCTTCATTCTTATTTAGTGCAATCAAGTAGGAAAATAGTACCTCCCTGTTCTTATTCAAGCTACCACGCCAAATTATATCCCTGGGTATTGAAGAAATTGGCTAATGTGATTAAACTGCTGTCTATAATATTTGTTAAGATTACAGGAGGATTGAAGCCATTTTTAGGGAAGCAATGCTATGTAAATTTACTAAATTAATTTATTATTTATTAGTTAAATTAAAAAACTTCTCTGTATACCAAGCATTTAAATAGAGGGAGTTGATATATTTATTAGAGGTCTAAGATAAGGTAACATTAACTTGAAAACAAAATTTGCCAAAGAAGAAACAAAACGGAATTAACTTACGAATGTAAAGTTAACTGTCTATGCACTATGTATAGTTAGAGGAATTAATTGTATCTTGATCGTTTTCCCCTGGGGCAGCTAGGTGGCCCAGTGGATAGAGTGCCAAGCCTGAAGTCAGAAAGATTCATCTTCCTGAATTCAAATCTGACCTCAAACACTTACTAGCTGTGTGACCCTGGACAAGTCACTTAACCTTGTTTGCCTCAGTTTCCTCATTTGTAAAATGATCTGGGGAAGGAAATGGCAAAACAATACATTATCTTTGCCAAGAAAACCCCAAATGGGGTCACAGAGTCAGACAAGACTGAAATGACTGAACAACAACAACTTTTTCCTCTAGAACACCTTTGAAGTTGTTGGCAATCTTTGGTTCTTCAAATAGTGCTTGTCATCAGAGGCTAGTAGTGTCTTGTTTTGCAAGATGCCATTCGGGTGCATTTGCCTTTTTAAAGTGGGAGGTAGTAATGTACTTCCAAAAGTAAGCTGTTTAACTCCATTTCCCTAAGACAGCTGTTTCTGAACTACTGTTTTTACTCATGTTACAATGTAATTCATTAACCTTATTTAACTTTATTTTTCTGTAGGCCTTATGAAGTAGCTGGTTGTAAAGTGGATAGGAAGTCCTATCTACCAAATCTACCATAGACAGTGGTTGAATAATCCTGGGCAAATCTCTTAACCTGTTTGCCTCAGTTTCCTCAACTGTAAAATGGAGATAGTAATAGCACCTATCTCCCAGGGTTCTTGTGAGGATTAAATGAGATATTTGTAAAAAGCCCTTAGCACAGTGCCTGGCACCAGTATGTGCTATATGAATACTTATCCCGTTATCATCCCCTTCCCTCCCTTATTTAGTAGAATTTAAATTGAGTGTAAGAAAACTACTCTAATTTCTGAAGGCTAGTGTCCTTAGCTCTTATGGTAACAAAAGCTGAGATTATTAAACTGTAGCTCAAAGGTGCTAACAAATTTAAATCTAATATTAAAATATATAATTTTTCCTTACTCCCAAATTTTTTGGGGGGTATTTCATTTCTTTGTAAAAATAAAAAAGTGAACTTTCACCCACTTACACCTCAAAAGTGACTCTCTCTCATTTGGTTACTAGGAAAATGGATGCCGCTCAAGAAAAAGATTACATTCTGATTCACTGGAGGCTGCTTCAGGTAGAATCATACAATTAAACAGGATGTGTAATTGTAAATAAAGGCTTGCTTCTTAGTGACTGCATTTTAAAAAAAATAAAGTGATGTTACTTGAGAATATAATTTTCTTTCTGACTGTGAATTGAAGCTCTTAGATTAGTTAAGAGTGGTAAAATGATGATCTGACAGGAGGTGAAATCTTGAATTTACTGTATGTGAAATGTGTGTCCTATTCTCATTATTCTGTGTCCCATTTCTTCCCCTCCACCCCCAAAAAAGAAAGGGCTCTTGAGATAGTGTGGCATAACGGATAGTAGTTCTGGACTTTGGATCAGCAGATCTCTGCCCTCAGCCTTGAATGCTGTGTGACTTTGGACATGTCATTTAACCTCTGAGCTTTGGTTTCCTCACCTGTGAAATGGTGATAATAGTAGCACCTACCTTACAAGGTTGTTGATGAAATAAGGTAATATCTTACGTGCTTTGTAAATCTTAAAGATGTTGACAAATGTGAGCTGTAATTGTTCCATTTAACATTTTGGTCTTAGCATATGCATTGTTGTACTGATAGGACTTAGAGCTTGGAAAATGCTTTAGATCCAAGCCCATTCCTTCTTTTTACAGATGAGAGAACTAAGTCCCAGAGACAGATAGTGACTTGCCCAATGTCATACAGGTAATAAGTAGTCAACTTAGGTCTTCTGACTTAAGATCTAGTGTCCTTTTTACTATACTATGTTCTGATAAAGTTTTCTGATGAGCCTTGCCTTGTTCCACTTTTCCCTATCTTAGTATACCTTCTCATCACTTTTGAATATTTCTGAGAAAGGAGACTTGATTTAAACTCGGGTATTTCAGTTGGGTATAAAGACACAAATGATACGCTTCTCAAATCTGTAAATGACACAAAGCTAAGAAGGATAGTTGAGATTACTTATTGACAAAATCAGGATTCAAAAAAAATCAGTTGATCAGGTACAAAACGAGGTAAGTATAACTGTGTCATATGAAAAAGATTGGGGCAAGACTTAATGGTTTGCTCAGTGTGAGTCAACAATATGATGTACTAGCTAAAAATTGGTAATGGCTTCATTTTTTAAAAATAGGATTCAGAATGAAAGAGGGAAATCTCACTACAAACTGCCCTTCTAAGATAATATCTGGAGTTACTGTGGTCCTTTCTGGCTGCCACGTTTTAAGATGATCATTGATTAGCTAGGATATGTTCAGAGGAAGAGGACTAGGATGAAGAAGAGACAGGAGATCCAGAAATCTGTGGGTTGGTTGAAGGAATTGGGGATATTTAGCCTTGAGAAGAGAAATCTTAAGGAACAAGATTGTTGTCTTCAAGTATTTGAAGGACTATTATGTGAAAGAGGAATTTATTCCACTTTGCCCACAAAAGCCAAACAGAATTAGTAGGAGTAATGGACAGAAGGTCTGAAAATGTAGGTTAAGGTGCAGTATAAAGAGAAACTTCCTGACAATGAGAGAACTAGGCAGATGCGAAATTAGTTGTTCAGGAAGGGTTGTGGTTTCTCCTTTTCACAAAGTCGTCCTCAGCTAAAGACTGGGAGAACACTTATTGGGGATATTAACATATGAACAAACTAAATCTTGGAGAGACTGTATCTTGCCTATCATTGTGTGACTGGTAAGTCCCAGGTAAAACTTGAACCCAAATCTCTTCCTGACTCCAAATCCAGCTCTCTTTCTGCCATACTCTTTTTGGAACCTGTTATAGCTCATTAGTAGGGGGAAAACAGAAAATTGTAACCCTGCTTTACTCTCCTGAATAAGTCTTTGCTTCCATTTCAAATATAAATTATTAAATTATTAATTATTAAAATTGTCACCTATAACTGGCTTATTCAGCCCTTTCAACTAATACATTAAATTTCTTCCTTAATAATCCTCATTCTTCAGGTAGCTAGGTGGCGCAGTGGATGGAGTTCCAGTCTTGGAGTCAGGAGGACCTGAGTTCAAATGTAGCCTCAGAAACTTGACACTTAACTAACTGTGTGACCCTGGACAAGTCACTTAACCCTGATTGCCTCACCAAAAAAATAAATAAAAATAATCCTCATTCTTGATGGATTCTCAGTCTCTTTTTTTGTGAACAGTGAAGGAATTTCATATTGTTGTTCTCTGCATGACAATTCTCCATAACACGTCAGTTGGCTACCTTCTTTTGACTTTAAACTTCCAATTAGAACAGACTAATACAAGTCTATCCTCGGTCTCCTTATATTTTTCTTTTTCTCCCATCTTGTCCCATATCAGTTATTTGTGGCCTTGTAACAAGGCTCTGAGGGCAGCTAGGTGGTGTAGTTCAGGGTTTCTTAAACTTTTTTCCACTTGTGACCTCTTCAGTGCTTCTTAAACTATGGGTAGTGACCATATATGGGTCTGGAGTCAGGGAGACCTGAGTTCAAATCCAGCATCAGACACTTACTAGCTGTGTGACCCTGGGCAAGTCACCTAACTCTGTTTGCCTCAGCTTCCTCATCTGTAAAATGAACTGGAGAAGGAAATGGCAAACCACTCCAGTATCTCTGCCAAGAAAACCCCAATTGGGAGTCAAACATTGACTGAAACAACTGGAAAACAAAGCATTGTGACTTTGGACAAACCATTTAGACTATGAGCATCAGTTTCTTTTTATATGACTAAAATGACTGAACAACAACAACAAGGCACTTTATCCATTGGAAACTAAATTATTCTGACCTGTTTTTTCCAGTCAAGAAATGGAAGTACCTGCAGTGAAGCAAAGAAAATGGGACTAAGGCCACATCTGTGTATACAGGCAAATTGAAATAGAGTTGAGACATTTTAATATTTTGATAAAATGTGTTTTAGAATGCATCACAATTGAGTTTTATCAAACTCACTAGGATTTTGAAAAATGTCCCAGGTTACACTGATTTTGGGGTGTGTCCTAATTAAATTATCCAGATAATTAACTTTTCACACCTGTAGGGCACCATGTTATAAAGGAAAGAAGCTAGGGACCCGAGTTCTGATCCCAGCTCTCTTATGTGACTTTATCCTCTCTGAGTCTATAAAATGGGTGTTGTAGTAACTGTAGATTTTATTTCACTGGGGTGTAGTGAGGACCAAATGAGATGTGCTCTCTAAATGGTCACTATTTATGTGACTTTGGATAAATCTTTCCACCTGTGTGGGCAACAGCTCAGTTCTAGTGTCTGCCATATGAGAGGCAGTAGAGTACATTGATAGGGCCTCAGTGTCAGGAAGGCCTGGGTTCATATTCTGCCTCTGACATATCCTTGCTGTGTGACGTTAGACAAGTCACTTGGTCTCTCAGTGCTCCAGACAACTCTCTAAGGCTATCATTTGAAGAGCTGGTACTGATCTGCATTGGTAGAAGAAGTTTTCTTAATAGAAGTTAGTTATACTGATGAAAACACAAGTCTAAGTCAAAAAAAGCAAAATAGAATTGTGAAAAGTACACATTAGAAAATCACCAGTCAAGACAACAGTGTTAAAAGTAATGGTGTGTGGGGCAGCTAGGTGGCGCAGTGGAGTCAGGAGGGACCTGAGTTCAAATGCAGCCTGAGGCTCCTAACACTTACTAGCTGTGTGACTCAGGGCAAGTCACTGAACTCCAGTTACCCCCCCCACACACACAAATGATTCTGAAATCAAAGGCCAATATAAAGCAACGAACTCATTTGCAGAGAGACCCTTTTAAAAGTATAATGCATATGGAACTGGCCTGAGCAAGATTTGGCCTCAAGTTCTGATGCTGATTCTCAATGGCTGTGTGTACCTGGGCAAACTATTTACAAGGAAGTGTTGACCAGATTCACATTGCAAATACCAAAGAAAATTAGTTGATTGTGGGAATTTTGGTTATATTTTCAAGCACAGCTCTCACTTTTATCTCAGAAATAGCCACATATTTAAAACCAGCATCAAACTCTCAGAAAATACAGCTTTCTACAGTTTGGCATCAGATGGAATGAAACGTTCACTTGCTCCTTTATCTATTTTAGGTACTGAATTCTCTGGGATGTCAGATGCTAAAACATGCGTTGTTTCATCTTCTGAAAAAGAGAGAGAGGTCACCTTTCCTAAAGCACCTATTACATATCCTTCCGTGTCACCCAGGATCAAGAAACAAACAGAGAGGAATTTCGAAGATGTTGCTAATACATCTTCAATGAAATCATCTAGTAAATCTTTGCCTTTTCAAAACGGCAGTATTATTAAGAGTCCTCCAGCTGTACTTGGAGATGTTGTATTGTGCAGCACAAGCATTTCAATGCCTTCATGTAAAAACTTAGAAAATTCCAGTTCCACTAGTAGTACACCAAGAAAAAAACTAAAAGTTTATTTAGATAGTGATGAGGAAAATTTAGATTGCAACCTGGAAAGTGATGAGGAAGATGTTGCATTAAAACCACTGCAAGAAATCATGTCTTTGAATTCCAGTCAACCTACAACTCCAGAAAAACCTTTTGTTCTTTTAGAAAAGCCTAGAGCATTATCATCAAACGTTTCAGTAAGTAGTTCTGTTTGTTAGTATTGCTTTGAAAGAAGGAAGGTAGATTAAGAAAAAGCATTGTCTAAAAAAAAATTCTGGGTTTATTATATTACTTCCTAGTTTAGCAAATGAGTTCTCTGTATACTTTTAGTTTTTATGCTTTGTAAGTAAAATTAGGATGTAGAGGTGTCAGGAATTGGAGGCTGTAAGTCAGTAAGATCCTTCATTCTACCTTGGAAGAAGAGCTGAATTAAATTCTAAAATGTTTGGTTTTGAAATTTGGTTGTTGAATAGGCTACCTATAAACTCATTTTGGGTGGTAGCACTATTTTAGAATTTATGATTTAATGAGTTCAAAATATAATTAAGAAGTACAGCTGAGATGCAACACTGAGGTCTTGAGTTTAGGTACTCAGTTTCTTATGATCTAAGGTTAGCAGTACTGTATAAAGAAGATAAGGATATATTATTGAATATCTTAGTATTAAAATCACTTAACTTGATAGTAATGTCAGAAGTCACTTTAAAGAAAGATATCAATTTTAGCATGCATAGAAGGCTTGGAATAGAAAATGATCTTTCTGATTCCTGAATAATGACTCCCCAAATAGCCTAATTCTATTGTTAAAAGCTGTGTTGCAAAGTATATTTCAAATTTTCTTTTCATTATAGGTGAGTGTTCGTTACCAGCGTTTTGAGAACAGTTTAGAGCGCCTAGCAAAGGAGAGTGAAAATCTTCCAAGGTTAGCACTGTTTTATTTGATTGGGTTAACCATCATTCTTATGGAAGCATGACTTCACTGAACCCAAGGTTGTGTGGCCATAGGCCAAACTTTCTCTGCCAGCATAGTGCTTACCTGGCTTGTACACTTAAACAAGACACTCAGTCTCTAGCTTTCTTTGTCTATAAAGACATCCAAGATAAAAAATAACTGCATTTATGGTGGCATAATGGTCTCTTAAATCCAGACTTGAGGGTACTGGTGGTGAAGATGTCTCCCTCTTGTTGACAGAGAAGCATTGGACAACAGGAGCAAAATGAGTCATAGTCTAAGGCTGATATACAACAACTAGTTCATTGGACATACCCAATGTGTTGGTTTGTTTTGCTTAGCTCATAATGTGTTGTAGTGAAGGCTTCTGTTGGATGGAGACAGGTCATCGTTAGGAAGTGACAATGGCTGTAAGAAAAAAAATTATTTGCTTAAAAAAGTGGTCTCTCTTCATAGTATCAGTTTGTCTGAGATGTGTTATCTTATTCATAGACTATGAGCTCATTTTAAAATAGACTATTACATCATTAAATGGCACTGTAAAATAATTTTTGTTTCCCACAACAATAACACCTGATTGATAGGACAAAGCCTTAAGATCAAAAGCATAAGTAAAAATTGTTTTTCTGTTTCAGTGCTCATTGTACAGTGCTAACAGATGTGGTTTCTGCCCTTAAAAGTTGATTCTTGCTTGTTGACTCTAGGTTACATATTTGATGGGTGCATAGAAAACTTGATTAAAAGAACTTAAATCTACTGAGAAACTCACTTAACATTCTACAACACTTTTTATTGTTTGGCCAATATAAAATAAAATAATTTGTGATAAAAGTCATGTAAACAAATCAGGGGTCTCTATTCCCTTGGACTTTTTACTCCGTTTGTCATAAATTATTTAGGGACATTGAGGGCAACATTGAACTAATAGAAGGTAGAAGAAATCTTTTGAAAGACTATGGTGCTGGAGACCCTTTTAGAATACAAGTAACTGGGGACAAGAACACCCAGTTTATAGACTTCACATGTTTTAGAGATTTGAGCTACAATGCATTTTACATTTTGCTTTGAACCATAACTTAATCCCATGAAATGACTAAATTTGTCATACAGCAAAGTATTTTATAACAAAAGCTTTCTTGTTTGTTATAACTGGTCATAAAAATTGAGAGATCTTTAAAACATAAATTCTGTTTATCATGTCATTCTTTTACTTCTTCTAGGTCAGATAAATGGGAAAAAGAGCTAAAGGAAGATTTAGTGAAAGGTCAGGGAATAAAATCCCTAATGGAGACAGAAGAATCAGAAAATACAGATGACAGTGGAGAACTCCAAGAAGAGCATAGGTAAAAAGCTTTTTGTAAAAATACACTTAAATTTCATTTACACTTCAAGTTCTATATAGTTATTTAGTCAATAAATCTAATTGCCTCTTTTCATGCTGCTAGTTGCTTTGTAAGCATTGTTGATATGGGTTAGGAAAAAAGGCAGGACGCTATGATAAGGTAACAACGTGAAGGGCCATTTCTCAGTGCATTTATTTCCTGACTCAGTTCAACTTTTTCTCAAATACAACCATGACTTTGTGCTAACTAACAGCAGAAAGAGAATCATGTTTACAAACCTCATATTATACGTTTTCTCATGTTACTGTCCCTGGTCAAGGGTTAACTTAAATCATTAGGCGAGGGTCAGTGGTGTGTCATGGAAAGATGACTGTACTTGAAGTCTGAGTGACCTGGGTCTGAATAACCTCTCTTGAGTCTCAGTTTCTTCTTCCACATGGAGTGGTTATGAGAAAAACGCTTTGCAAAATTTAGAGCATGATATAAATGTGACATTTAAAATTTACTTTGTATCAGAGGTTTTTTTTTTTTAATTTTAAATGTTTTATTGATGCATTTAAAAAATATTACAATCACTTTCCAACCACATGCTCTCCACCATCACAGGACCCTCCCTTCCAAAGGAGCTTATTCAAACAAAACAAATAAATGCATTCGCCAGGTCTAACAATGCATGCTTCATTCTGCCTCTGGCACATCTCCACCCAGAGAAAGGAGGCATGTTTTACTGTCAAATCTTAAATTAGTTATTTCATTGAACAGAATTCTATGTCTTTCAAAGTTGTTTTCTTTACATTACTGTGATAATTGTGTTAAAAGTTCTGTTGATTCTCTTTATTTCATACTGTAGCAGTTCATACAACTCTTCCCAAGTTTCTCCAAACTTCTTCAGTCTTTTTTTTTTTTAACTGCAATAATATTTCTCCACATGCCTATAACACAGTTTGTTCAACTGTTTCCCAATTGGATATCTGCTTCTCCCACCAAGTTTTTTGCTACCACAAAAAGTGCTGTTGTAAATATTGTACGTGGGACTTTCCCCTTTATCATTGACTCCATAGAGTTTATGCCTAGTAGTGGTATTGCTGGGTGAGAGAGTATGTACAGTTTAGTGATTTTTCTTGTTTACTTCATCACTCACTTCCTGCTTCCTTCCCCTCTGATTGTGATTTCCTTGGGGGCTGGTTTTGAAAGCATTTCGGCATCCTCCCACACTGGGCAATTCATAGTTCACCAAGCATAGGTCTCTGCCTCAAGTGACTTTTGGGTTGTCAGAGCTGGTGGGTACTGTGTCCTTTCTCTCAGGTGTGGTGCAGTGCTACACGGCTACCCGAATGCATGGTGTTCTGTCTCGGTGATGTGACCCCTAGGCTGGCACCAGCAGTTCAGAGTGTTTTCTCTGGCACTGGCAGTACTGGTGCTTTTGAATTGCAGCCCCTGGCAGGCTTTTTCTCCTGAAGGGCTGTGGCCAAGCTGGATGTCAAGGGGACATCCAAACTTCTGGAGCTCAGGTCTTTATAGCTCAGGAAATAGGGAAGGGGAACTAGAGTGTAGGTTTTGATGTAAGCCTGTCTCATGTTCTTGGGTCTCCTAGTGCAGCTTCGCTACCAGTATCATGGGAGGTTGAGGAGGGGTGCTGAACCTCAGGGTCAGTAGGCATTAGTTTCTGGGTTTTTTTTTTTTAATCTTCTTTTGGATGTTGCTTGTCCTTGACCACGGAAACAGCTGAAGTTCCTTCACCTTTGGTGCATACTTTCTATTTTGGAGAGGTTTTAGATGTCATGGGATTGTATGTATCAGAGTTTTAAAAAGGCTATTACAACTACTTTCTCATTTTATAGATGAGGAAACTGAGCCCTGACAAGTGAAATAACTTGCCTGAGGTCACATACCTGGTTGGTATAAGAACCCAAACTGCTGAATCTGGGTTTCCTGACTGGCTGGTGTTCCTTCTGGTGTACTTTGCTACCTTCAAACTTGGCTCAATCTGAGCAATCCTTTAAGTTTTAGTCCTCCACAAAGTTGATAAAAATGCAGCATCAGAAGATGCAGAAATAAATATTCACCTGAGTTCTTTATTGTATATGAATACTGTTTAGTCCGCAGTAATGTGGGTTTTTTGTTTTTTGTTTTTTAATAGGGAGTTTATAAGGAAATTCTTCATTGCTTTTGATACCATTCCTGATTGCCATCCAGGCGAAGAAATATTTCACTGTTTCGATTATGGAAAAATTTTCAGTCAACATACATTGGACTTAAGGGACTGTAATTTTGTTCCAAAGAATGCTATTGAAGATCTTATCCTTAAGTAAGAACAGCAACAACAACAACAACAAAATTTACAGCGTAAACTAAAAAACATTGCACATGCAAAAACCTTGCAATTATAATTTGATCTTAAGCATTATTCTTCTCGGAGGGTGATTACTTTCTATAACCTGTCTGGTATGCTCTTAAACTTACTTTTGCTTCTTGTGTTGCCTGATTAAAAATAGAAAGTGGCACGTCAGTTCATTATGTTACTTCTCCAGAGTTGATGCAGTCTGTCGCAGTAAGTCTATTCCCATAGATAATAGGTTCCAGGGAGTCTAGCTTAGCATTGTCATTCCACACCTGGCGAGAATGTAAATAAAAACGGCAAGCTGAAAGAGTGAATGGCAGTTACACCTGAGCCTTCATGAGCTTTTTTTCCTTCTCAAATAGGTTTCTATCCCAGAGCTTCTGGTATCTACCCCTCTGACTACCAGTAGTCCTGGGATATTTACTGATAAGTTACAAATAGAGGCTAGATAGAATTTCAGGCTGAACTGCAAGTGAGCCAAGGGAGTGGCCTGTTTCCTACGTGACTTCAGAAGTGGAAACAGCTGTCAGGAGTTACAGAGCTGAAAGGTAACAGGTATTGCAGGATCATAAAACAGAGCTATAAGGGACCTTTTTAGAAGTCATCTTTCCAGTCCAGCTCTCTCATTTTATAGATGAAGACTTAAGACTAAAGAGGTGGAGGGCCCTGTAAGTGGCAAAGCCAAGATCCAGGTCCTCTGCTTCCACCATCACCTGCTCTTGCCCCTGTGCCTTTCTAACATGTAGATAATCAAGGCTCAGCTGATAACTGCCAGGATAGGGATAGGGATGTACGTGATATGTGACGGTCCAGCAGAGAAAGAGAACCTAAAGTAACTGGGAGTAGAGATTGGAGGGGTGGTAACTCTCTAGGACTCATACTAGAGATTCAGGGTAGGGACTGAGAAGTTAGCCGATAATTTCCTTACTTATGTTAGGGACCTGTCTTACTCTACTATCTTGGTTTGTCCCTGAATTTCATAATAAATGCTTTTTAACTTGAGCACTTCAATTGAATTAGAGAAGGGAGGTGTGCTTGTCCACAGGTAACCTAGAAGAGGTGGAGTAATCAGTGTAGATTACTCCACTAGACTAGACAAGGCCTACCTAGCAAGGAAGAGAGAGGAGAGGGGCTGACCCCCAAATTGCTCTGGGATATAGTCCTTTAGGTAAGGAAAACCTTATAGAACATGCTTGGAGAGTAACCTACAGACCTGTGTCTCTTCCATCTCCAAGCCATTTTGTAGAGGATAGGTGGTTCCTAGTGCTTGCCTAGAAGCTTAAGTCACTGTGCCAAGCAGTCTGTTCCAGCCGTTCCCCTAGAGCATAGCCATTGCGTACCAAATCAGAGCAGACCCTAAACCAACAATGGTAGGTTGTGTTTGAACAAGTTGTGCATTCATGATAGGCATTGTTAACCAGCTGCAGAGGATGAGATCACTGTGCATTAGCTAAACCAGAATGAGGACCTTTCTCTTTTTCAGTTGAATGTTACCATAACGTCCTGGGGTATAATATTGGTTTCCCTTGTTTTGCAGATCAGGAAGAACACAGCAAATTTTTTTAACAACACAAGGATATCTCAGCACCGCCTATTATTATATCCAGTGTCCTATACCTGTGTTAAAGTGGCTGTTTCAGGTGAGAGGAATAATGTGTTTGCCTCACCTTTTGGGTTATCTCTCTTTATGAGATTATGAATTCCTTGAAGACAAGGAACTATGTCTTATTAGCCTTTTTATATGTCATAGCATCTAGCACAATAACTCACACACAAAAAGTGCTAGATACCTTTGTGGAACGAGATGAAAATCATTAGAAAGGTATTACAAGGTAAGAGGCGTTATCCTAAAGCAGCCAATAGTATTTATTTAGTACCTGCCATGTGCTAGCCCCTGTTAGACACTTGGGAGACTAAGACAAATGCAATGGTCCCTGTTGTCAAGGAGTTTATGTTGTCTTGGGGAAGACAGCAAGTAACAGTAACAATCTGCTACTTAGCATACTAGCCCCTATGTGCCAGGCACTGTGCTGGGGGCTAGGGAGACAGGTCCAAAGTATGAAACATTCCCTACTTGTAAAGGATTTATATTTTTGTAGGGGACACAATGGCTACATGTATAAACATATATATATGCATATATACCTGTATATTCAGACATAAATATAAGGTAATTTTGGGGAGGGCACTAGTAACTGAGAAGATCAGGGGAAACCCTCATGTGGTCTTTAGACTGAACTTTGAAAAGTATTAGGGATCCTAAGGACTGAGATGAAGTGGAATGGGAAACAGCTGGGATAAAGTCACAGAGATGGGAGATGGCATGTTGTGTCTGAGGAACAGCAAGAAAGAAGTCCCCTCTTTTTAATGCTTCTCATGGCTAGAAAGGTAGGTTGCAAAGGGCTTCAAATTCTCAATAGAGGAGTCCCTGTTTGATCCTAAGAGGGAAGCCACTGGAGCTTATTGAGCAGGAGAGTGGTGTGGTCAGACCTGTGCGTTAGAAATATTACTTGGGCAGCTCTATGGAAGACGGATTGGAGAGGAGGGGAGAGCCTGGAGGCAGGGAAACCAGGGAGGAGGCTGTCCAGCTGAGAGGAGACAAGGGCCTCAGTTGAGATTGAAGCAGTGTGAGTGAAAAGAAGGGGACAGACAGGGGAGGTACTATGTCAATACAGTCAGAGATCTGGCAACTGATTAGATCCGTGGAGTGAGAAATTGAAGATGACTCCAGTCAGCAAACTGCTCCTCATAATCTCCTCAGTATTTTTTTTCCTTGGTTTTTGTGACATGAACAGTTTGCTTCTTCCCTGTCTAATAGAAACAGTCTTGGAGATACTGAATGGATGATCTAATGAAGGCTGTGATGAAGTAAAAAGAGGACTGACTTGATAGGAGACCTGAGTTCTAGTTCCAGTTCTAGTTCTGCCACTAAGTAGGCAGCTGGGTGGTACAGTGGATTGCACGCTGGGCCTGGAGTCAGGAAGACCTAAGTTCAAATGTAGCCTCAAACACTTAATAGTGGTGTGACCCCTGGACAAGTCACTTAACCCTGTTAGCTTCAGTTTCCTCATCTGGAAAATGATCTGGAGAAGGAATTGGCAAACCACTTACCTTTGCCAAGAAAATCCCAAAAAGCATTACAAAGAGTCAGACATGACTGAAATGACAGATCAACAAAACACTGTGACTTTGGACAAACCCATTTAGACTCTGAGAATTAGTTTCCTTTTATTCTAAGTGAGTGGAATGGTCTCTCTCTAGTCACTTGATGAGCTCTAAGGTATTGTAAAATTCTTAACGTTTTAGGATTATTTGATATGCATGAGAAGTTTTAAGAGTTATAAGGGAAGTTAGATTACCTAGTCCAATCTCCTTATTTTATAGATGAGGTAATGGGCTAAGAGAGGGGAAGTGACTGCCAGTGTCACGTAGCTTGTTGGTGACAGAGCCAAGACCAGCACCTAATCTCATCACCTAAATCAGTAAACCTTCCACTAAACAATACTGCTAGTTCTAGAATTGGAACGAACCTGTCTTCATCTTACCTAAGTCTTCTGTCTCCATTTTTCTCCATTGTTCCTTCTGACATATTTTCTGGACCCTTCATCCTGGTTGATCTCTGGTTTTTCAGTGTCCTTCGTGTAGAATTGACTATAATGTTGCAGGTGTAGTTTGACCAGTAGCTTCTTCCCCCATTGCTGATCTTGAAATTCCCACGAATGATCTGAATGGATTGTATCTTCTTTCTGTTTTGCCCTCCCTGACCCCTGTTGGGTTACATAAAACCTGAATGCTGCCTGTAATTATCATTATACTTAATTGCATAGACAGAACCTAAATTGATCTATCAGCAGAAGCTGTAGTAACAGCTGGTAGTCAGCTAGAATCTTGGATCTTTTTTTTCACATGCACTACTATCAAGTCAGGTCTCTGTTACCCATTCCTTAAGTCATAGATTTTTAAAAACCTTAAGCTTAAAGACTTGACATTTGTCCTTGTTACTCTGTCTCATAGAGTCATAGGTTGATAGATCCAGAAAGAGACCAAAAGATCATCTGCCTAACTCCTTGTTTTACAGATGAAGAAACTGAGGTCCAGAGAAGGGAAGTAACTTACTCATGGTTGCATAGCTAGTCAGTGGCAGAGATGGCTGTTTAACCTCTTCAGTCCAGGCTGAATGGATCTGGATACTTTGTTGTTTGCAGAGCTGCCCTCTCACCTTCCTGTCATCGGCAGATTGGATATGCATGCCATCTATGCCTTTATCTCCGAGTCATTGACAAAACTGTTAAACAGCACAGGGTGGCAGTTAGTGACTACTCCGGGTCCAGCCATTCACTTACTTCCAAATTTACCTAAGTGTATGCTCAACTAGGTGGTACCTTTCTGTCTTGTCCACAAGTACCAGAAAGGACCTTGTCAGATGCTTTGTTTAAATCTAAACACCCTCCATCTGTAGTATTCCTTTGGTCCAGCAGTCTAGTGACTCTGTGCCAAAAAAAAAAAAAAAAAGATGCCATATTGTGTTCCTGACTTGTGAAATCCATTAAAACCCCCACATCTTTTCAGATCAGCTGCTATTCCTATTTTGTGCTTGCCCCATCTAAGCATCTATGTGTAAGACATTCTGGCCATTTCAGTCCCTTTTTGTGTCCCCAATGTTCAGTCATTTGTGGCTTTGCTACTTAAAAATTGTTTATCCGATTGTGACCCGATAATGTTACCACCCATGGCTGAGACTAGTACAGTCTCTTTTTGCCTTCATCTTTTTCACACATACTGCCCTTCAGCTCTCATTAGAAAATACATGAAATTGCCATGGTTTCAGTTGTGCTTTCCTCTAAATTTTGTGTAAAAAAATTAAATAATGATTTTCTTTTGACAGATGATGTCTGTTCACACAGACTATGTTGTTTCTATACAGCTTTTGAATACGTTGATAGACTTAACAGTTAGAAATGGTAAGTATGCAGATACATTCTTTCTGTTTTCTTAGTATAGAGCTGTTGGATGCTGCTTGCTTTGGGGCTCTTATGTTAAGGGGAGGTAGGAAAGGAGAGAAGAGAATAAGAATTTATATAGTGCCTACTATATCAGGCATTATGCTAAGTGCCTTTTTTAAAAAAATATCTCATTTGATCCTTAAAACAACCCTGTAAGGCAGATGCTATTATTTCCTCTATTTTATGCTTGAGGAAACTGAGGCAAACAGGTTAAGCAACTTGCTCAGGGGTCATGTAGCTAGTAAGTGTCTGAGGCAAGACTTAACTGAGGTTTTCCTCACTCTAGGCCAGCACTTTATACACTGTGCCACCAGCTGCCTCTGGAGAGGATTGAGTATGTTTAGTGATTTAAATTGCTTGTGTAATTTTAAAATATGTAGTAATGGAATGAGGTGCTCATGACCTGTTTCTGATCAAAGTTAAAAAGAGTATCTCTGTGTTCCAGTTGTACAGGAGAAAAGAGTTTCCAAATCATTTAAGTGACAGCCCTAATTGGGTAATTTCCCAGCTTGTGGGTTGCTTTGCCAGAAGTGTTAGTATAATTGGAAGTTAAAAATTAATTGGGATGTAGTCAACAGCAACAAACAGTATTACACTGAGAAACAGATTGGCATCATGCACCGTGATAAGGATAACAGTTGTAGACTAGTTTAATTTTTTCAGGGGGTGGAATTGCCATTTTTGAGAGAAGACTTCTGCACATAACAACATGTTCTTGTTTACTTGTGGATTATGTAAGTCTGTAGAAGGTGATTTACCTTCAATTTAGTAATAGGTGGCTCTCTAACAATATTATTTCGAAGTCTAGTTAAACATTGGTTAACTAGACTTAGACATAATTACTACTACTACTACTACTAGTACTATTACTACTACTACTACATTAGTAAATGTGGTTGAACAAATAACGAAAAATGGTTTTCTTCCTTACTGTCATTTATCTATTGAGCCATAGGTTTTCCAGATAAAGAATTGGTAGTATGCCTTTCAACTATTTTTAGAGTTCTCTAAAATCAGTTTATTTACTATAAAATCTTGTTCTCTCGTGTTAAATTTTACCTTGAAACTATGGGAACAGTGTATAGAAAATATTTTTCTAGTTTGGAAAAGTGTCTATAATAATGATATTAATATTTTGTCTCTTCTCTAGATGCCACTAGTGGATCATCAGTTTGGCCTTGGATCCCATCACTGTCTGATATTGCAACTGTGTTTGTCAACATGGGAGTTAGTTTTAAGTGTTTATTTCCTGTACGGAATCTTCAGCCTGTCTTTAATGAAGATATTTTGTAAGTTTGTTTTGGGGGGCAGGAAGGCTACTTAAGCTATGTTAAAGAAATGTTCTAAGTTTTCAGATTGTGGTATAAGAAGCTGTGTTTCACCCTAATTTTCTTGTCTACCGCTATGTACAGGAGATAGAAATGTAGCCCAGGGACTCCTGAATTGTAACACAATCAGGAGCTCAGTTCTTGTTATAAGTCACGTAAAAGTTGTTGATCTTGATATGTCTTTCTTGTCTAGAAAGTAGATTGTGGCCAAAAGAGGGCTTGCACTAAGTGAATTTGAGAGGGTCCAGGGATTGTAGTTCCTGTTGAGAACCAAGCATTGGTAGATTGAGTACAGACAATTCTTGCTTTATGTGAGTGGACTGTTGTGAAGAGTTCTACTTAAAGCGATGGGAAAGGGAGGGAGAAGGCCAAGGGGGCTGGCACATGGTTCAAGGACACATTGGGGCTGGGAACAGAGAAGTGAGATCAGGAGGGGTCCTGGCTGAAACTGAGAGGAAGAACACAGACAGTAGAGGACAGGTGACGGCTGGATGGATGGATGGAGCAGAATAAAGTTCTCTTCTCTCGATGCTGGAGATCTCCACTGTGAAAGTGGTGGTAATCTCTCAGCAAGTTTGTTCTGCTTTCACTTGGAGGGGTGTGTGTGTGTGTGTGTGTGTGTGTGTGTGTAATTTTTTGGTTTTGTTTTGTTTGGTGGGGGCTTTGGAGGTGGGTGTGTGTGTGTGTGTGTGTAATTTTTTGGTTTTGTTTTGTTTGGTGGGAGCTTTGGAGGCCATAGAGCACCAAGCTGAGGGGCAGAAGTGGAGAGTGCTTGGAATGAGGATTTCTTTCAGAATTCTTTACATAAAGTTGAATTTGTATAATACAAATTTATGAAAAGCAAGAACTTTCTGTACAGAGAAGTGGGAGAAATGAATGGTAAGGTGGTTGTGAGTAGAGAAAAGGACCATACATTTTCAAGATATTTCCAAAGTTTCCTCTTCTTACATCAGACGTTTGGCTGCCATTTAAATGAGACTTTTAATACATTCTTGTGCAAATGTGGTATGTAGATTTTTAAAAAGCACTTCATCTTGTTTAACCTTAGCAGTTGAAAAGATTTTTCACCTAGTGATCCAGAGCACCAGATTATTGAAGTTATTGTAATATAGTAAAAAGAGCCCTGGATTGGAAGTTGTCTTGTCTATTTTTAACCACTAACTAGCTGAGTGACATTGGGTAATTTACTCATCCCCTCTAGACTTAGTTTTCCTCATTGTACAATTGATCTCTAAAGTCTCTTCTAACAATAACATTCTATAACCATAATTCTGTAAGCTCTTTAAAAGTTCAGATCACTTCCCTTTGCATGTGCTCTGTAGCACTAGTAAATACATGGGTGATACTCCATAATAAAAGTTAACTCATAATTTGGTCTCCTGCAGGTTTGACAACTTCTAATCAGTTATAGGTGTATTTCATTTCAAAGTAACATTATATAGAGAAATAATTATCTTGAACTCAACTCAACAAGTTTCCAACTACAGCCTCTTAATTTTTAACCTCGTCCCTCAATAACATTCAGTGTATCAGCTCTGTGTCCTCATTGGGACCTGCAGTCATATGACACCCCCTAATTTACCCAATTCAAACCACTTTAACCATGTTAGATAGCCTACTCAGGCTAGAGGCCATGCTTAGCCAGTTTAATGCTGCCCTTATTAACATTCCAGATCCTCCTGGCCCTTTAACCCATAGTTAATAATGGCCATGCATGGATCATTCTGACCATCTCTGTTCTTCATTCCTTCTTCTGACCCACAGAGTATCACTGGGAAAAATTGCAGACTGTGTATAAACCTGCACAGCAACAAATCCTGTTTAATTTCAGTTAGGTAGTTATTGCTATGCTCAGTGGTCCTGTTTTTCATCTCCCTTAGATTCCTTAGCATTCTTCTCTACCAGTGACTGTTCTTAAAGTATTGTTAATGGTAGTTGTGATGGTGGAGGTAGTGGTAGTGTAAATCTTCACCTTTTTCAAATTCTCACGTTCACCATCTTTCAACTCATAGCAAGTATGATGATCTCTTTACTAAGAAAATCAAGAGTCCCAGAAGGGAACTCCTTTGTTTTGTCTCCTTTTTGCCTCTACTTATCTCTCTGTTTTCTTTCTACCTCAAAAGAAGTGAGACATTTCCTTAATCTAGTACTAACTGTTGCTTTTAACCCTTTTACCTTCTTGACCTTGTTTTCTCAAGCAAAATGTCTATCTCTGGCATCTTTAGACCCCAAGGTTGTGTAGTTGATAGAGTGCTGGGCCTGGAACCAGGAAGACTTGACTTCAGCTATGGCCTCAAACACTTACTACATTTGTGATGCTGGGCAAGTCAGCTTAATCACTTTTTGCCTCAGTTGCCTCAACTGTAAAATGGGATAATAATAGTGCCTGCCTCAAAGGTTGTGGTGAAAATCAAATGAAATCATATTTGCAAAGTGCTTAGAACAGAGCCTGTCACATAATAAGTGAGACATAAATGCTGCTATTATTAATATTAATTTTTGTATTCATTCCTTTTTCTTATAAACGTGCAGATTTACTTTCTTTTTTTAAGAAAAACCCTTCACTTGAACTTGCTGACAGCCTTCTAGCTACCCCTCTGTTTTTCTTCCTTTTACAGCCAGATTGGTTTCTAATTTATTTCTGGTCCTGACTTCTCTGCCTGCCTCTAGAATCTTCCGTTCCCAATTCATCATATACACTAAGTGCCTGATGAATTCTCTTAAAGTATAGTTGTGATAGTTATGATTGTGTTACTCCTTTGTTCAAAAACTCTTCCTGACTCTCCGTTTCCTTACAGGCTAAAAGCTCCAGCTCATTAGCCCAGCATTCAAGGTCTTCCATATTCTAGCTCCTTTTAATCTCATACTTCCATAAAAACTTTAGCTTCCATTTACTTAGAATGTACTTTGATTTTCTTGCCTCCATTCATGCTGTTCACTCACATAGCCATCTAACTCTAGTTAAGCCCTCTTCACCTCTCACCTGAAGTGTGAAAGGAGCCTCCTTGCCTCTAATCTTTCCCCATACCAGTCCATCCTGGATGCCCCCAAAGTGATCTTCTCTAAAATGCAGTTCTGAACAGATCTCTCTCTCTCTCTCTCTCTCTCTCTCTCTCTCTCTCTCTCTCTCTCTCACACCCACACCCCCCCCCAATGGTTCCCTGTTACCTCTATAGCCAAATATTAGCTCCTCTATTTGGTAGTCAAACCTCTTTTACCTGGCACTATCTTACCTTTTTGGCCTCATGACATGTTATTTCCTGCAGTGATCTTTACCGTCTAGTTAAACTGGCCTTCTGGCTGCTCCATTTAACTTCTCTTTGCCTTTGCTCTAACTATATCTTGCTTATATAATGCACTCCTTTCTCACCTACGCTCCTTAGGATCCCTGCTTCTCCTTAAGGCTGGGCTCAAGTGCTGCCATCTTTGTGATTCCTTTCCCAATCAGTTCCCTACTCCCTTCACCCTCACTAGTATATTTCCTCACAAGATTATCTGTTATATAGGTACTGGTATGTACTTATATGTATGCATGTCGTCTTGCCTGTTAGAATGTAAGTTCCTTGGTGGCAGGGACTGTTCTGCTTTTGTAATTGGTATATAGCAGCCATTTAATAAATACTTATGGATTGATTGAACTTCACCACCCCCCCCATTTCCTAGAGAATCATAGATTTAGAGCTAAAAGGGATCTTAGATGTCATCTAGTCATCCTTTTTTTTTTTAATAAGAAATTAAATTAAGACCCATAAAAGTTAAGTGACTTAAGGTTTTAAAATGTTTTCCTGGCCAGCTAGGTGGTGCAGTGGATAGAGCACTGGCCCTGAAGTCAGGAGGACTTGAGTTCAAATGGGGCCTCAGACCAAACACTTGACACTTAATAGCTGTGTAGCCCTGGGCAAGTCACTTAACCCCAATTGCCTTAAAAAAAAAAATGTTTTCCTACAACAACCCATATAGTTTGGTATTGTAATTATTATCTGCATTTTGCAGATAAGGAAACTGAGGCTGGGAGAGGTTAAAGGACATGCTCAAGGTTATATATTTACTAAGTATCATGATGGGATTAGAATGTAGGTCTCTCCTGCTTTCAAGTCCAATTCTCTTTTCGCTTTAAAATTAGTGCTGCATCCCAGTGCCTGCCTATCCATATTTATCAAGACCAGACTCAAATGTCAATCTCCAGTGCAGCCTTCATTGTTTGTTTGAACCACAAGTCTCAGATTCTAACAGTTAGAAAGGATTCCAGTTCCCTTCTCCTCATCTACTTCAGCCCTACTTTTCCTCAGTCCCTATCCTATTTTGCCCTCCCCTTCTGTTATGCCTTCAGGAACTCTCACTCTATTGATAACAAATTTCCCCTAATATTAGACTTCTCATTCTCCTATTTTTTCCATCTTAGACTCACAGAAACATATGACTAGCTGCCCTCTCTGGTGCTAGACATACTGTTTCTTATGTTCCCTATACACTTAACTCTCCAAGAGAAAAGGGCACACTCTGCTCCTTCGGCTACTTTTAGATTTTCTTGCCATTGTCACTCGGCGATTCCACCTTTGAGGTTCATCCCATTCATTTATTGAGTGCTCTCCCCAGAGCTTGGTGGCGTGTTCTCTGCTCTTCCCAGATCACTCTCCTTCCTTTCTCAGAGAACTCAACACTGGTTTCATAGTCCTCCTCTTGCCCTCATATTTCGGGGTTTTAGTACACAAGTTGATGTCCCTTCAGACACCCTGGTCTCTCAACTTTGCCAGCTTCCACTTTCATTTCACCTCAGTCACATATATGAATTGGTCTCACTGTCCTTAACCTGCCGCTGTAAAATAAAGATGACCTGTCCCTTATGTCACCTTGCTGGAAGTCATTTAACATCCCTGCGCCTCAGTTTGTTTAACTGTCAAATGAGAGGGTTGGACTAGATGTCCTCTAAGGTTCCTTTCAGCTCTAAATCTATAATCTTATGAATCATCACTGTCATTGTTTGACCTCTGATTTGGTACTCTGAAATTCACCTCTCAGACAAGAACCTTTTATTCTCTCTCTTCCTCACTTCTCCTGAACTTACTCTTTATCTTCAGTATGACCTCTATTCACTTACCCCTCTCTCCATTCCTAATTCATAATCCCCTCTCTTTTCTTTCTTTGAAATCTTGAACTTAAGGGCACCCAGTCACCAAACCCTCCGCCTCAGTTTCTTTGTGTGTACAGTGAGGGGGTTAGATTGGCTGACTTCTGAGGTTCGTTCCAGTTTTAGAGCTATGATTGTAAATTTCTTCTTCTCATATTCCCTCAACAAGTCACTTTACCTCTGTCTGCCTCAGTTTCCTCAACTGTAAAATGAGGATAATAATAGCACCTATGTTCCAGGGTTCTTGTGAGGATCAAGTTGTATAATATTTGTAAAATGTTTTACACAGTGCCTGGCACATAGTAGGTGCTTAATAAATGTTTGTTCCCTCCCTGCTGCTGCCCCATCCCTTAGATCCCTTTTAGCTTCAGCTCAGGTGCTATTTCCTATGTAGTGCCTTCCTGATTCTCCCGAGTTGTTAGTACTGTCTCCCTCTGAAATTATTTTGGATAACTTTGTATATAATTTGTATTTACTTATTTTGGGGCTTGTATTTTCCCTACCCCTATTGATTGTAACCTCCTTGATGGACAGGATGTGACTGTTGTTTTGGTTTTGGTCTTTATGTGCACAGTACCTTAGATAAAAGCACTTAATAATGCTTACTGAATTGAGTCTATAGTAGCCAATAATTCCTTCTACAGTGTCCCCACAGATAGTCGTCTGTCCTTCTCCTGGTCAAAATCTCACCTGTACGTGTGTGTTTGAGGGGGCGGGGAGTGAGTGGAGTGTCCTTTTCCCTCGGCAGTCTTGTTCTACTTTTGAATAGCTCTATTAGGAAATTTTTCCTTAGAGCAAACCTAAAACGCGCATTTTTGCAAATTCACTTGTTTCTCGATCTGGGGCCCTGTATAAGATTTCTCTTCCATGTAACTGCTCCTAGTATACTTGAAGACTGTTTTGATGGTCCTATCAAATATTTTCTTTTTCAAGCTAAACATCACCACTTCCTTGAGCTTTGTATGGCAAAGCCTTAGGTCCTCTTGAATTCATGACATCCTTCTGGACACACTTTAGCTGGCTGATTCTTCCTCAGAACTGTATATAGTACTCCAAATATCATCTGGCTAGAGCAGAATATAAAGAATTAACTTGTTCCTTCGTTCTGGACATTAGTACTTTTGCATTCCTCTGAATTTCACTTATCTTTTATTTATACCACTTACTATGCTTACATTGTATTATATTGTAATTTTGTGTATCTTGTTCTGTCTTCCCTCACACTGCCTTGTACTTGAAAATGATCATCTGAAGGACCTGAGTTCAAATGTGGCCTCAGACACATAACACTTACTAGCTATGTGACTCAGGGCAAGTCACTTAACCCCAGTTGCCTCACCCAAAAAAAAAAAATCAGTAAAACATTGTTGAATGAATGTTATATGCATTTCACATTTCTTTGTTCATTTTTCAGTAATTTTGAGGTACAAAGTATATCTGAAGAAAGAAAAGGTGAAGATTCTGTAGCAGAAACTGTTGTTTCATGTCTTCCAGAAACCAACATTTTAAATGTAGTTAAGGTAATAAATTTGCCTTTATCAGTCGTTTTTGTCTTTTTTGTTTGCATTCAGTTTGAGAGTTCGCATGGAAGAAATACTTATTCTGGAGAAAACAGTGATAATAAATGATGCTTTTGCCTAAGTCATTAGTATGCTCAAGAGTATTTTAGGTCATTGCAACTTTTGGATTATTTTTTTTCTCAAAAGATTTTTAATCAGCTCTTTGGAAGGCAGGACTTGATTAAGCAGAAATCTACTTTTACCACCTACAGCTTTGTTTGGAGATCTACCTGAGGTCCTGTGTCCAAGTACAGAACTTTGATTTGTCAAGAAGATTAGAAAGCTAGAGAAAGGGTTGGCAGGGGTGGTTCTGTCTTGTTTTGTAAGGATTGAATCATTGCCAACCCCAATACATCAGAAGTAACAAGGACATTTTTCTGGATTTAAAAACTTATAGGTAAAGTACCTTTCCTTAGTAAATGAATTTCATTTATTTTTGTGATTGTGTGCTAAGTTTATAGGCTTGTGTACAGCTGTATATCCAGAAGGTTACACAGATCAAGAAATAATCTTGCTGCTTTTAATGTTCTTGAAAATGAGTTTGGAAAAGCACCTGAAACAGATTGCACTAGTGGACTTTCAGAGTCTCCTGATAAACCTGTTGAAAAACATTAGAGATTGGGACGCAAAGGTAAGAGATGAAGCTACCAAAGAACACAACACTAGTTTGGTGTTAGGAAAGCAGAGATTTACTTTCAGTGCAGGCAGAATAAAAATGTGCTATATTTCTAACATATAACCTGACATTTGGTAGATGAGGGATGAATCAGACATAAAGAAAGACTGCATTTGTTTAATATGTGTTAAAATCATGAAAATTATATCTTTTATGTAATGCTTAATCAGGGCTTCTTAAGTTGAAGACCCCCTGAATTTTTAAAAGATGTTGATAACTGTATTTCAATATAAATGGTTTCCTTCATAATCCTGTATATTGTACATTTGTGAACATTATTTTGAGAAGAGGCCTGTAGGCTTCACCAGACTGTCAAAGGGGTGTAGTGTACAACGAAGATGTCAAACATGCAGCTTACAACACTCCCTAGTGCATCCCAAATTAGATTAAAATGTAATTGGGAAATGTTTTTGAAATAAAAATATAATAAGACATATATAATATTACATTTTTAAAGTAAGTCAATATGCAGCCTACGGGGGTCCTTCTGTATAATAGATTAGTCACTGTCATCTGTATTTAAATTTGACACCCCTGATCTATAACACAAAAAAAGAACTCCTGCTCTAGACCTATAAACTCAAAAGTGATTTCCACCTTAGATTTGCATTAGATTCATGTGAGAAGGCAGTTCTTGGGAGCTTGCATCTGTGAAATTCTGAGTGTGGAGTTAGAGAACTGGAGATTACTTCATTCTCTAAAGAACACAAATTGATTTAGAGAAGGAAGATTTGTTTATCAACATCACAATAAATTCCACGTGTGGAAGTGGAATTTAGTTGTATTTATATGGTCTGTGATCATAACACAGGACTCAACTGAAGGTCTGAAGATTAGGTTGATCTTAGCAAAGAGCTCTAACTCCTCTGTGATAAGTTAATTGGAATCTTTAAGTGCTTTTTCATAATGTACTGGTTTTTAAAGTAGGGATTTGGAGTTTGAGGGGAGCAGGTTGGGGATAACATAATGTTAAGTCTATGTGAATGGAGTTTGGGGCGTTTAATCCCTGCGTGGTAACCATCATGAAATGTACTCCTTTTTTCTCTTTGCTTCTCAGATGCCTGAACTCTGTATGGCTATAAGTGAGCTGTCCACTCATCATCACAACCTTCTATGGTTGGTGCAGTTTATCCCTAACTGGACAGTACGTGGAAGGTATTTGAGACTGTGGGGAGGAAAAAAAAAGATTTTAATAGCATTTACATCAGATCTTTCTGTTCTTTGTACTTGTCTCCCAGCTCTTGACACTGAGTAGTTGCTTACTAAATGCTTGTTGAAAGTGCTCTTCATTTTTTTTTTATTGCTTCTCCTCATCCCTGAGTGGCAGATCAGAATCATTTCTCTTCTTTCTATTGTGATAATATATAGATCCAGCAAGAGCTCGAGTCTGTTGCTTAACCAATGTTACTTGCTTTTTGGACCCTGGTTCTGAAAGTCATTCTTGACTTTATAAAATATTCATGTAAAATGTTTCCCTTTTTACATCAGTAATTTAGCTCTAGAATATAACTCTTTTGGAACATATTGGATCCATTTTAAAATTGGAATAAATTGGGGACTAAGAAAAAAAATTGTGTTTTTTTTTAATTCTTCATGTTTTGCTTACCAAAAATATTATTAAAAAATAAATGTAAATGCAATTTTGAATTCTGATTTTAGGCAGGTGAGACAGCATCTCAGCTTAGTGATTATTGCTAAATTTCTGGACAAGAAACCTGAAGATATTCCAAGTGCCAGTGATCTGCAGGTATGAATGTCTTTTTATATAGTAAATTAAATTTAACTATTGGCTGATGTGTGTGTGTGTGTGTGTGTGTGTGTGTAAGGATTCACTTTAGGGATTTTGAAAGCCTAGAACTTTATTAAATTGCTTCTCACAACTGTTTTGCCTTTCTCTTAGGCTACTAAATAGTCTTTTTAAAAACAGCTAAAATTTGGTTATCTAGTATTTGACTTGACTTTTTTTGAATGCATCTATTTTGTTTTTCTACAAGAAGTAGAAAAGTAAAAGACATTGCAGATAAAGCAATAACCCAATGGAAAAGCACTTAAAAATTCTGAATGTATCTATAGTGGTAGATCTGAGGTTCTTTGAGTTCAGAATGAGCATACTTCTGTTTGAATTTATAAATATTTTGTGACAACTAGTATCTGTGTGACTTTTAAGTTGTCAGTGATTGACAGATGGTGGTATTTGCCCCCACGGAAGAAGAAATAGGAAACAACTGGCAGGGATTCTTGCTTCTGATTCTTATCCATTTTCGTTTGACCTTTGCAAGTGCAAACTAGAACCATATTAATAGTTAAATGTCAGCTTAGTAATCAGTCTTCAAATGAAAGAGGTTAGTGATGACATATTCAACCCCATGCATTGCCTATCCATTCCCTGATTCAGTGATCCTTCTTTACTCCCTGGAGAAATAAGACCTTCTTGTAAATGTATAAAAACTAGAATTTTGAGGGGCAGCTAGGTGGTACAGTGGATAGAGCACTGGCCCTGGAGTCAGGAGTACCTGAGTTCAAATCTGCCCTTACACACATAACACTAGCTGTGTGACCCTGGGCAAGTCACTTAACCCCATTGCCTAGCCCCCCCAAAAAACTGGAATTTTTTACCTTTTTGGCCAGCTGGCCCATTCAAACATTTGTCCTTAAATAAAAAACCCCATTCTTTTAACTCAAAATTTCTTTTAAGATATTAAAGACTTTTAAGTAAAAGGGAGTAATCAATGGACAACATATACACATATATGTGTATATAGAAGGTATTTCTAGGGAAGAAGAGTAATATAATGCCAAATACAATACTAAAGCATGTTATTGATGCCATTCTTATAAATTAACATGAATAATTATTCATGAAGACAACAACTTAAAAGAGATATCCAACAGAGATCAGTGCCTGGTATATTACTGATACTTTACCTCTCCTATGTCTTTCCTTTTGCAGTTGTCTCTTCTTTGTCAATACCTTACACAAATGAAGCCTGATTTGTTAAGGAAAATAATAGCAAAGAAAACAGGTGAACAACAGGATAACCTTACCAAAGACTGTTTAGGTCTAGACCTTGAGCAGCAGGTATGTTTTAAGACTAGATTATTTAATAAGAGTACATCTCTCCCTTCTTTTCAGAAGTGGGGGACTTTGAAAATGGAATACTTTGTATGCTGTCAGACTTGTTTGATGTGTTGTTTAGATGAAATGCATTTTCCCTCCTCTCTTATTCTTTGTTGTAAGGAACAGTTTTCTGGGTTTAGGAGGAGAAAGGTAGGTAGATAGCTGGATAGATTTGGAAATAAAGGTGATGTAAAAATAAGACATAAATAAAATCTTATTTTTAAAGACTAAATTATCTGCAAGCACATGAAAACAAGTTTGACCTTCCTTGAACTTCATAATAAATGCATTTCAGGAAATTGGCCAAAAAGTGAATCTTATTTTTGCATATATTTCTACTGTGAAATTTTTGGATAAACTGAGTAGCACAAAATAGGTGCCATTATAATTTCTTTAAGACCATAATTCTGGAAAAGGATCTGTGTGTGTTTTTATAAGTATTGTTTTTTCCTTAAGCCACCTCAATTTTAGTACTCCTGACTATAACCCTTGAAATATTTGGCACTAAGGTATTATTTTACCACTAAGTAACTTCAGTGAATAATTGACCTCATCAGTTTGGGTGCTCTTGCTTTTATGCAGATTGCAACCCACCTGTGGTTTCCCATCATAAGACTTTTCTTGATTTCCTTCTGTAAATCTGGCAGAGTTGATTCATACAGTTTGATGGAAGACATTTATTATTGCAATGCTGTCAGATTGGAGTTCATTTAATTATATGCCATCTTTTTCTCATTGTTATTATTTCTTTTGTTTTTATTAATCTTTGCTTTAACGAATTTGCAGTCAGCTGTATAGCTGATGAGAGGAATGTTTCCCACATTAGTCATTTCCTCCCTGTCAAAATGTAATGTTTTATTTTTCTTATGTTTGGTGCTCTCCATGTCTAACACTCTTAACATTTTTCTCAAAGAAGGTATTTGTAATACGAGTATAAGGTTGTGTATTCTACAAGTCTTTGGCCTTTCTTGTTTTTTACTCCCAAACCATACCGTTCAGAATTTCTAATCTTCCTCCCCTCTGCACACTTGTGCATTGAAGTCATCAAATATCAGTATGTATGTGGATTTGACTTGGAAGGTTTCATGGAGTTTGTAGAATTGCTCTACCTCCCCATCCACCATAATAGGTATTGGTCCTTATATTGCAGTTAATGTGATTGTGATATTTTTCCACATTTATCATGAGCCTTGTAGTAAAAGATATCCATCTCATGAAATGATGTTTCTTGATACCTCTTATTTACTTTTCAAAAGAGAATTTGTGAGCTATGTTTCCATTTAACTGCAACTTCTTTTGTCTTCTGATTTTTTTATGGTGAAACTGTGAAGATGAATATAATTCATTTCCTCTGGTAATACGTCCATTTGTTGGATACTAGACAAAGTCAGTGTATCAGCAGTTAAGGTTTATAGATTATCTAAAAAAGGCATAATTCCTAGCATCTTCTTGTCCCCTTTTCTGATCACCATCTTGATCACCATCACAGTAGAGGCAGAAAGGGGCTAGACAAGATTGAGGGGTATTTTGTTTGTCTTTAATTCATGGGTTTTTGCCATGGCTGCGCAATTCATCACCATGGTGATTTAGCTTCTCTGTTCCTTGGAGAACAGACATAGTCTATTGTCAGTATTGTGCTTAAAAGTCATTCCAGCATGGTAGAACCTGCTGGAGATTGTGTTCCATTGACATAACTTTAACGAAGCCAAGGTCACACCTTTGTGTTATGAGACATTAGAGTAAGACTTTCTGTAACAAAGTATATAGGCACTACCACTAACAGTAAATTTCTGTATTGTGGCTGTAGTCCTGCTTTAAGAAAAGTGCTTGTTGAAGCACTTTTAGAAGAAATAAAAAGAGCATATAATTGTGTTAAACTCTTTGTTACTAACTATAAATATAATGGGATTTGGGGAGGGAAAAGAAGGAAGGAAGAGTGCTCAGGTGCTAGAATAATTTTTAAAGAATGGGTGGTTAGATATGTGATTAGGGGAGGGAAGTATTTAAGATGTGAAGAGGAGCATGGGAATGGCAAAAGAGCATGTTGTATGCTGGAGATTGACCATTTGAAGGTGGTATAACTAGAATAGTGGGTACATGTTGAGGTGTAGTAGGAAAAATAGGGTTGAGCAGATGAAAGCATCAGGTTATGAAGAGACATCAGAGTCTGACAGAAATTTAAACTTGATCAGCTGTTATAGATTATTAGTTAAAGGAATGACAAGCAAAGCCATGCTGTTAGAAAATTACTCTGATTATCTGGTGCAAATGGTAGCAAGAATATAATATGGCGGGTGGCTAGGTGGTACAGTGGATAGAGTTCCAGCCTTGGAGTCAGGAGGGTCTGAGTTCAAATCAGGTCTCAGATACTTGACACTTAATAGCTGTGTGTCCCTGGGCAAGTCACTTAACCCCGATTGCCTCAACAAAAAGCAAAAAATATTTTTATATATATATATATACACACACACACATATATATACACACACACATATATATATATACACACATATATATATATATATATAAAAATATGGGTGCATGAACTATGATGTGGTAGAAGATATGGAGAATGAAGGAATGAATCAAATGTTCTGAAAAAGATATTAAAAGTCATGACAGATTGAATGTATGTAATGGAAAGCAAAGAATTACTGACACCTCCAAGGTTTAGGAGACTAGAAATATATAGTCAGTACCACCAACAAATAAAAATGAAGGAGTGGAGCTGGTAAGTTTGAATTGAGGGTATCCATGTGAAGTCCTAGAGACAAGAAAAAAAGAGTGGTAAGAGTTTAGCCTGGAGGTGTAGGTTTGGGAATAATCAGCAAAGAACCTTAATAAATTTTTATTAGAAGATGACTGTTTTTTCCTATTTTTTTTATCTTCTCACAATGTATTGCCAGAATTGAGTATCCTATGAATTGAATTTTCTTTTTTTTTTTATTAATTTATTTTGATTTATCAATAATCACTTCCATATGCTTTTGAGTTTAAAATTTTTCTCCCCCTTCCTCCCCAAGATGGCACATACTCTGATATAGACTATACATTTACATTCATATTAAACATATTTTCACGTTAGTGATGTAAGTAGAAATTAAAACCAATAGGAGGAACCATAAGAAAGAGGAAACAGAACTCAACAGAAGAGAAAACATTTAGCAATTCGGCTTCCATAGTTCTTTCTTTGGATGTGGATAGCATTTTCCATGACAAGGCCTCTTGTCTTAGATCCTTGTATTGCCAGGAAGGGTTAAGTTTATTGATATTAGTCATCATGCAGTGTAGCTGTTATTATGTACAATATTCTCTTGGTTCTGCTCACTTCACTTAGCATCAGACCATACAAGTCTTTCCAGGTTTTTCTTAAGTCAACCTGTTCGTCATTTCTTATAGCACAATAGTATTCCATCACATTCATATACCACAACTTGCTCAGCCATTCCCCAATTGATGGGCATTCTCTCAATTTCCAATTCTTTGCTACCACAAAAAGAGGTGCTATGAATATTTTTGTACATGTAGGTCCTTTTCCTGTTTGTGTGATCTCTTTGGGATATAGCCCTAGAAGTGCTATTGCTGGGTCAAAGGGTAGGCACATTTTTATAGCCCTTTGGGCAGAGTTCCAAATTGCTCTCCAAAATGGTTGGATCATTTCACAACTCCACCAGCAATGCCTTAGTGCTCCAGTTTTCCCACATCTTCTCCAACATTTATCATTTTCCTGTTTTGTCATGTTGGCCATTCTGATAGGTGTGATGTGGTACCTCAGAGTTGTTTTGATTTGCACTTCTCTGATCAATAGTGAATTAGAGCATTTTTTCATATGATTATAGATGGCTTTAATTTCTTCATCTGAGAACTGTGTGTTCATATCCTTTAACCATTTATCAATTGGGGAAGGGCTTGTATTCTTATAAATTTGACTTAATTCTCTATATATTTTAGAAATGAGGCCCTTATCAGAGAGACTGGTTGTAAAATGAATTCAATTTTCTTAGGTTGTAATCTGTCTAAATTTATCAAAGTGTAAAACTGAGCTCATCTTCTACATATAAAACTGATCTTCCTATAGAATTCCCAATTTCTATTGATAAGACCACTATTCTCCTAGTCACTCAGGCTTAGAACCACAAAATTATCTTTGACTCTTCCTTCTTCTCCACTACCTACAAAGTTCTGTCAGATCCTCCACAATCTCTTTCAAATCCATTTCCTTTCTGCTCACACTGCCACCCTCCTAGTTCAGGCCCTCAACACTTCTTACCTAGACTATTCTAGTAGTCTCCTAATTGACTTTTCTGCCCTCCACTCCATCCGTCACACAGTCAGCAAAATAACCTTCCTAATATATAGTCTGGTGACTCTCTATTGTGTAGATAGGCTAAGAGGTTGGTAATTCATGGTCTCATTTAATGCCCTCCATGGTGTGTGTGTGTATTATCCTTCATTTCAATCCCTTGTAGAAATAACATTTTGGTCTGTCAGATTGTAAATGTGTCCTTTTTCCCTCCCGGGAGCACTAATTATATTAATTTAATCTTTTCTAGGTATATTACCTGACCTATGTGCTTCTTCATTTAGTTAGTGAAGTTAGTTCCTGTTCTTTCTCTCTTCGACAAAGGGTAAGGGATCTTTAGTATTTTTAATGTAGTATTTATAAGGGTAATTGAATTCACTATTACCAAAAATTAACTTAATTTGGCTTTGCTTTAAATGGATCATAAGTTCTTAATCTGGAGTCCATACACTTTTAAAAAGTAACTATTTCAGTATAATTGGTTTTCTTTGTAGTCTTATATTTTGCATTTTATGTATTTAAAAACATTCTGAGATTGAACATGTATAAGCTATATCAAATTGGTTACTGTCTCTGGGAGGGGGGAGATGAGGAAAAGGAGAGAGAAAATTTGGAACCTAAATTTTTTTAAATGAATGTTAAAAATTATCTTTACACATAATTTGTGGGGAAAGGAAATATTTTTAAAATAAATGCACAGAAAAAAAGTAAAGTGCATTTGTCCAAGTTAAAAAAAACAAACCAATTTTTTTTTAAAAAAACCCTGAAACATTCTGAGAAAGGGATCTGTGGGTTTCACAAGACTGCCAAAGGAGTCCATTACACAGAAAAGGTTTAGAACTCCTGTTTTAGAATTGAGCACAAAATAACAGACAGGGAGGTCATCTTTTGAGAAAGTAGGTTCTCTAACAGTTACTTTTTTGAAACTAATATCCTGTTGATAGTACTTGTTAATCTTCCTTAGCACTGAAATTGAACATGTTTTTATAATGTTGTGAGATGTAACACATTATTATCCCATTAAGGAAATAGAGAGTGCTCTTCATAAATTTTGGCTAATCAAAGTCTGGGTCTAGTTGAAATGGACTTTGCCCTTTTGTAAATGCTGTTGATTTTCACAAAAATAAACAAGTGTTTATAATAGCTTGGTAAACTTTGATCTCTTCACTTTCCTGACTCAGGCATGATGAACTAATATAGTCATCAGTCTTTAATGTGTTTGTATGGACTATCAAATTAAAAAAAAAAAAAATGTTAACTTCCCAAGGAATTCAGTATGATCAGTCTTTTATTAATAAAAGCTTGTTTTGTTTCTGGAGGAAAACAGGTCATCTATTGAAGCTTGAATATTTCTTGGAGAATGGGCTAAAATACCTCTCATATTTCTAAGGAATCCAGCACCTATTCTGAGCTCTAGATCTACTTTTCATTAGTGCCTCCATGGATAAGAGCTATTTAGAATTACTACTTTTATTTTTGGCTATTTTTCTGTATTAACTAGCAAGAAACCATAATAGCCCTATTGTCTTGGCAGTCACTGCTTTCACTGATAGGACAGAGTTTGGGTATGATTGTTTTGACTGATTAACATCAGAAATTGAAAACTGGGGGACTGTAGATTTGAAAATGATTGTCAGTCTGGCTAACTGTGTAACTTTGCATCTTTTTAATAGTTTATAATGCTTCAGAGTTAACTTGTTTAAGCCCCTTGTCTTTATTTCACGTAGAAAGATTTGCTGCAGCTATGTGGTTCTTTGGAACAGCACATAAAATGTTCTATCAGAGAAGATGCAAGATTTTTTCATAGGACAAAGGTAAATGTGAATATTCTTTCTTACCAAATGGTAGTGGATACTTAAAAAAATATGCATATATGTTCATTAAAAACTTGAGGAATGTTCTTGAATCCTAAATCCATGTTTAGTAGCTACTTACACTTAATATTTTGTTGTCTCTTGTATTCTGGATAGTTTGTAACTATGTGATAATGTATATCATGTGCATAACTTTCTCATCTCAAATTAACTGATAAAGTCTATGCAGTGTAGGAGTGATCACTTCAATTTAATACATTTTTATTTTATTAAGTGAAATACATAGCTTAGTGCACAGATAGGAATTTTTGTATTGAGTTACAGATTTTCAAATACCTGTTGCTGGATAGCTGTCAGTACTAGAATAGAAAGCCCTGGTTTCAGAAACACATTCTTTTGAACACTTACTGGAGTTACTGGTCCGTAGAACCTTGTGGTTGTTGCTGACAGACAGGTTCAAAGAGGACCACCCAGCGGCTTTTTTGAAGTGGAGGGTCTGAGTCCAAGTTGGTGCCAGAAGCCTCTCTTTTATTTACTTGGGGTGGAGAGTGACAGAAATGATCTAAGGAATTGCTTCAGAGGATGGTCTTGCTGAAATGGCAAGTTTCATGCTTTTCCTAAACCTACCAGAAGAAAAAGTAGCAATTTATTTAAGTGAAATTGAATCTGTTGAATTCCAGAGGTTGACAAAGTTCATTTCTGAACTGAAAAGACAACTGCAGAAAGTTGTTTAACATTAACCTTGTTTAAGCAGTTAAAACTTTTCCCAGAAATAGTTGTATCTCAGGTGCTAATTAATAAACAAAGATATTAATTGGTTCAATGATTTAAAAGAATGCATCATTTTCATTCTGGTGCAGTGGTCTGTACAGAGACTGATTAAATATGTCTGCTGTCCATATGGAGAGAAAAAACACAGTATTTGGATTGCTTTTAGTACTAGAAAGAGCCAAGATGGAAAATACAATTGCCTGAACCCTCTTATGCTGAAGCTGTGGCAACCTGGGAGACCTGTCACCTCCCACAGGCAAGGCTATCAATATCAATGAATTTTTTATTTTTGTTTTAAAGGTAATAGATTTAGTTGCCATAATACATGGAAAATGGCAAGAAATGATCCAAAATTCTCGGCCTATTCAGGTAACATTTTATTATATGGTTCTTTTTCTTAATGCTGAATACTTAGTGTGCTTTGAATATATATGCATGTATATATTGCTATTATACTTTGTTATAGCATATTACTTAAATGATGATTCATAGTACCAGGGATTTTTGTTTTGTTTTTTAGGAACAGTGCATAAGGGAACACTTCTTTAGAATTGTGTTGCTGAAAATACAAATAGTGTGTATTAAAAACCAGGTGCATTCGCATTTCACTGAAAGGATTTTTTTTTTTAAATGAAAATCATCCTTTAGGACTTTGTAGTAAGCTCTGCTCAAACAAGCTTGTCATAATTGCTTAATTGCACCTGTCTGGTGTGAGATTATCTGAGTACATGTAGATTATGTTGAAATCATAGGAATACTGAAGGGAGTCTTCAGAGGTAATGACTAAGGAAAAGTGAACTCATACTTTCTGACGTTTTGATGCTTTTAATATTGCTGCTGTTCTTAATTAGGTGACCTAATAAGGCATGTTTTTCCTTGTAGAGAAAAGCCTTTGTATATTTAACAAGTATTCTCATAGGAAAATTGGTGAAATGTTTTGTCTTTTGTTACTTTCTAACTTCAAATAGAGTTTTTTTTTCTCTATTTAAAGCCAACAGTACATATACTAAAATAGCATTGATAGAGATGGGAATTTATTTCTAAAGATTCATGTTAATCCACTTAGCATTTTTCTTAATGTCCTTAATGACTTCCTTTATATATATGGTGCTGAGGGAAACATATACAGTATTGAAAGCATGTGCTTTTATTATTAGACCACCACCATTTGAATAGGGACACCTGGTTACTCTAAAGTTGTAAGGAGGCAGTATAATACCACACTTACTGCATTTACCTTTCTCTTCAAAGCACTTAATTTGTTTAGAGTTAATCTGGTCAATAGTCTTATGACTATTAATCTGACTAAGCATGCCTTCTTCCCTCACCTTCCGATTTATTTTTAGGGAAAGCTGCATGACTTCTGGGTACCAGATTCTTAATTGGAGTGGCTAAAATGTTGACTCAGGAGAAATTGAACAGGACAAGAACCTTTCCTGAAAACGTGGAAAATGTAGATGCAGACTTCCATAGAGCTTTTGCATGGGGAGACAGACAAGTAATATGCCATTTGAATCCAGACTGTGCACGAGAATATGAAGTGTGAACCTTGGGTGGGATTGTCTGATCTCTTTACAAGAGATACTAAAGCTCGAACTTGATTCCTGTTTTAGGAACAGAGCATACGTCTGATAATACAGTGTGTTATATATGAATGTAATTTTTTTAAAATTCCCATCAAATTACTGATTTATCTTGTCCTAACAAGTTACACAAAGTCCTGAATTGAAGTTCTAAGAAATTTGGGTAGATTTGCCAAGATAATGCATGTTGCTGTCCCTTTGAAAACCCTGGATTGTAATTATTTATAAGGTGTGTGGGCTTGAGAACAATTGAAAATCACAGGCTGCTCTTAATGTTTAAAACACTTTGATACTAGCCTTTGGTTAAATGATATGTTTCAATTAATGTCCTGGTGAGCCAAAGAGTCTTTGATAGTAACAAACTATTGACATTCTTAGTTTAATTAAAAGGATTTTTTCTAATACCTCAGTGTCTGTGGGTATTTCCTAAAACTGAATCCCAACTAGATGTTTTTTAATTATTAACTTGGGTGATGCAGCTCTATCTTAAGTGACTCTAATGAAACAATAATCCAAACAAAAAATCTAGAAGACTAGATTTCTTTCCTTACAAAGATTTTTTGCAAAAGTACTTGGTCACAATGAAGGCATAGGAGAAGAAAACATTTTCTGTAAGAATTACCATGGTAAAATTAGGTGGTTTCCAAGTGACTTGAGCCTATTTTAAGCATTGGGGCAGTTAACATTTCTGTGCCACGAAGTTCAGCCTTCTTTGTAAAATGGGGTAGTGCATATTCACCCAAGAATCAAACCAGTATGTTTCTTCAGTCTTTCTTATTTTTTACACACACACACACACACACACACACACTCTCTCTCTCTCTCTCTCTCTCTCTCTCTCTCTCTCTCTCTCTCTCACTCACTCCTTATTTAAGTCCACTGGCAATAATATTACTACCTCTTCAAGGTTTTGTTATAAAATGTCTATCTTTAGTGGAAGAAACAAAAAGAGTTTCTTAAGATTTGGCCAAAGAGCGCAGGCTCACTGATGCTGGATATATATATCTATCTAAATATAGGTATAATTGTCTTTTGATATGTCATGTGTAATTTTATAAGAGTTCATATATTTTTCTCATTGACCATTGTGTAAAGTGTACAGATTACTGAGTATAAAACAGATTGGTTTGATTTTGTATAATTAGAGCATGTAAATATTTTCTTATCATGTTCATTAAAGGGATTGGACGAGATAGTTTAGGGGGAAGGCTGGATTGTTTAGGAGTATTTTGGTTTTTTTGTTTGTTTTTTGTTTTTGCTTTTTTGCTGCAGTTAAGGCATATAAACTGCCAGACCTATGACTTTTTAACCACTTTGGTAAACTTTTATTTAATAATTCTCATAAAAATAAGTATTTTTAAATTTCAGTATAGTAGGAAGGATTACTGCATATTATTTTTTTAAAAGGCAGATGGGAAAATGATAGTCATAATTCTAAAACAGGCAGCTTGACTTTAGTCTCCAGCTCATGATGTTGTATTAGTGTGCGGGTAGGACCCTGCTACTGAAAGTTTTGGGTCCTGTTTTTATATAAGTAGTCCTTCAGTTTACTTGCCAAATCAGTCAACAAGCATTTATTAAGCACTTACTATATTCCAGGCACTGTAGGCCCCATGCTAAGTGCCAACGACTCAAAACAAAGGAACAAAGTAACATCTGCCCTTAAGCAGCATGCCTTCTTTCTTTGGGGGAGTCAACAAGTAAATATCTTGAGATCATCTGGTCCATCCCTCTCATTTGTTAGAAGAGGGAACCTAATCCCAGGGAGGTTTGGTGGATTGCCCAAGGTCACACAGGTAGTAAGTATCAGGAGCTGGAGCTGATGGACTTCTAAATCAGTGTTCTTTTTACTGCCCTGTCTCCTGCCTCCTTGAGACCACAGTTTTGACCTGAGTGTGCTCCTGAGATGGATTTTGCAAAGAATCAGAATTTGCTGGAAGTGCAGAGTGAATATAATAGTGATACTGGAAAGATGGTTTCTAAAGCAAACCCTCCCAAAGAGGTATTCATTTTAAAACCAGTCTGTAAACTTTGAGGCAAACTTTGTTTTGCCTCAGTGTTGTTTGGTAAGATTAACCATGCCAGGAACTACACTATCTAATTTTCTAAGTAGGATGAACTTATTGTCCATATTGCAAGCAGAAAATAAAGGTATTTATTTTTAAAAAATGTTTTTGCGTTTATGTAACTGACTTTTCTAACTTTTTGTTGTTGTGGTGGTTAATAGAAAAGATAACTTCTTCTTACTGAGGTCATATTAAAAAATCCATTAAGCAGTATTGGCATTTGTACATTGTATCCTGCTGGCTCAGGTGGAGCTGTCAGAAAATGCTAGGTGAGAGGTTAGCATGTGTTGGAAAGGTTTTATGTATTTGATGTTACTATTTCAATCACAGGAAAGATGTTTAAATTTGATTTGCAGAAGTCACCTCAGATGTGTCAGGTAGAAAATAACTGAATCAGTATTATCTATTGATGAGAGCCCTGAGGTCAATGGCTAGCACAGTGCTTGCACACCTTAAGTGCTTTTGATGGATGTTTGAATTGAATTGAAGCCTATGTCAATATAAATAGTATAAATACAGTTGATGGAAAGAGCAGTTAATAAAAGTTATGCAGAAAATAGACAATCCTGACCTCACAATCTAATGAGGGAGACAGCAAGCAAACAGTTCTGGACAAACAAACTAGAAATGGGATTAATAGGACATAATTGAGAGGTATTGAGAAAGGTTTCCTTTAGAAGGCAGGATTTTAGTTGGGACTTGAATTAATTGATGAAAGCTGGAGGAAGGAGCTGATTTTGTTTTTAAAGTACAGAAGGTCTAATGACAAGGAAATAACCATTTACATGTAACTATGTTAACATATCAGGAATGTTTGGGAAGTCCTCTTGGGCTCCTAGTTTTATATCTCTGGATCTGGAGAGAGGGTTCAGGTGGCAAGTCAAATGGAGCTGCTAACATGGGTTAGGTTTTTGTTAATCATCAGTTTTCGTTTTCATCGTGTTCTGCCTCTGTAGCCCTGATTGCTCACTAATTCAACTCTCCAGAAGGGTATCCAGAAAGGGGGGGGGAAAGGCTTTTTTAAAAAAATCTTTCTTAAGAAGGTTTTGTATTACATAGTGTTTAAAACCCTTTGAGTATGTTACTTGATATTAAATCTTCATTTTTTTCCTGTTTGAGCTTCTAGTGTTTGGTGGTAATTACTAAGCCCCTTCTAACTGCTTCATACCTTTCACACGTGTGTGTGTGTGTGTGAGAATCTGTTACCTCACCCTACCCCCCACCTTTTGCTTTGAATTACAGTGTTCTTATGTGTATTGTATTGTTGTAGTGTTTCTTCAGGTACTAGGGAGGGTGGGTTGCAAATACAGGTAAGTGAAAAATGTTTTTTTTTGCATAACACCGTATATAGCATTTGCTTTCTTTGTCTTTTTCCATACATTGTAGTCTGGTTTCCAGTAATCCCCAAGGGAAGATACTTTTGTGTCCCTTGACATTGTCACTTCTTGTTTTTCTTCTCCCATCCTTACCCAACCACTGCCCTTGATCATCTCCCCAAAATTATCAAGAAAAGAAAGACACTTTGGGGCGGAAGTCATTGGTATTAGAATTCCAGCAGCCTTCTACTGCTCTAGGAGTTGCTGTTTAATAAGAAGTTGAACGGAACAATCTATTGGCATCTGCTCATTGGAAGAAGTTTCATCACACAGGTGCCATAATATGGTTACCAGAGGCCCCAGTGCTGTTAAGTAGATTCCTAAGCCCAAATGTAAGGTTTTTTTATTTCTCCTGATTGTCTAGCAGAACTTATGGTGGGTGAGTTAGGAGAAAAGGGAAAAAACCCTTCACACCCTTCCTAGCAGCTTTGATAGTGGGCATGTCTGCATTTGAAGACATCTGCTACGTATCAATCAAAACCTACTTCCCAAAGGCAAATTAGAGGGATGACCTAAAGAGAAGGCACTAGGGAATTGAAGGTTTTTTGTTACATGAACCTATTAGTTCCAAATCTCACATGTTGTTTCTCATTAAAATGAGAATGTGTTTCACATCCTGTCAAGAGTTTGGGGGCAAGCTGCCCAAATAAATAAGTCTTTGGTTAGGAGGAATTATATATTCTCTGAGATCCAGAAAGAGGGCAACAAATGGCTGGTGACATTGAGTCCCATGGAAGTGTGTTGAGACTCACATCACTTTTGCTGACTAATGTGTCCCTCAGAAAGTTCAGAGAGAGGCGAAGAGGCTAACTTGAAAGAGTAACCTTGAATTTTGGAGTAGACTGATTAGAGCTAGAAACCCTTAAGAAGTAAAACTTAGTGAATGATAATGAAATGATATGTCTGACAATGTTGTAATCAAGACAGCCTGCACAAGGAGTCAGTTAAACTTGACATCAGTGAAAGAAGTTGAAACGTTGTGGTTACCTGTTGACAACCCAAAATAAAAATCCTGGGGAAAAAGGAAAGTGCATCTGGGCATGGGAAACTATCCCACGAGCCCTTGGCATATTTTTTTCCACCCTAGAGAATCACTGGGAAAATTTCAAGGGTTCACATTCCCTCCCTGGGAGTATGGAGGAGATGGGATCAAAGCAGAGTGATTAATAGTACAAAGGAAAGTTAAAACTAAGATTCTGCCTTCTTAACTCTTGATGTACTCTTGGAGAAGACAGGACCCAAATGAAGAGTGCTTTCAAGGTGAGAAAGCACAAGTTACTTAACACAGCCTCACTTTCGAAATGATTGACTGCTTACATATCCTTTTCAAAGCCTTTTCATGTGATCCCAACAGCCCGTGAGTTGGTGTAATGGAAAGAGAACACCTGATTCAAATCCTGGCTCAGATAATTTAACTATATTTTGGTTTTTTTTTTTCTTTACTGAAACTTAAATGCACAATAAGAAAAAGAAACATTATAAACTTAAATAATGAAACTTAAATACAAAATAAGAGAAAAAAGCGTGCATGTGCACAGCAGAACCTAGGAGAAAATTCAAAATATAGCAATAAATTTCCATTTAAAGAAAGTCTGTATAATAAATACAGACATTGTGTGGAGAGCTGTCCATCTTTGCTTCCTTGTTCCCTTTTGTTCTCTGCTGTGCACTTTTTACTTTGTTCTTTTTTCCCCTTCCCCTCCAGAAGGCTACAATTATTTGTGGATATATTTATATATAGATATATTTATATACATACATACACACACGCACATATACATAGACATACTTTGCCTAAGAAATTCTATTTCTACCCATTAATCTAAACACCCTTCTAATACCCCTTCACTATTCCTTCACCCTCCCTTCTAGAGATCTCTCCCTTATCATCTCCCTCCTCCCTATCCCCTTAGTGTTTTATTTCTTTCTGAATTTAGAAGATTTTTATATTCTTAGAGATAT